GGGCAACAGGTGTGAATGCCGCAGCACGATAGCAGGAGCGTAATTTGTTGAAACGCCGCGCTGTTTATTTATTTACTACTTTATGTAAAAAATTAAAGATATATTATGACATAGTTATATTATGAATAAGCACATGTGATATATGAATGAAACTAGAATGTGAAAATTAATAATATTAATAATATTAATCTTTACTTACTGCATTGTTTGTAAATAATTATATTTTTAAGCTTTAATTGAACTTAATAATGCTCAGACTGGTAAGAGAACGTAGACAGGTCTACAGTGTGATCGGTAATCATTACTCAAGAATGATTTGTTCATTTGAATTGCAAAGATTCGGAATACGTTCCAGATGCAACATCTCTTACCAAGCATCTCTTGCCAAATGACGGAAAAATTACATAACAAGCATTCCACCAGAACAAGCCATAATCCCATCTTTCACGCCGTCCGATCGATATTAATTCTAAAGATTGAAAAGTTTGATGCAAGAAAGCGGTGACCTAAAAATATGCAAAATGTTAGCATATTTATTACGAACCGCAAAGCTTATCAAATATTAATAATATAATTTCCTCTGCAAATGATAAACTTTCTACACTTTTCTCAAGAAAAATGCAAACGTATCTTAAAGACTAAGCTAAACTTATAAATAAATAAGAGCCAATATTTGTGGCATAACTTATTCTTGCAGTTGAAATAATTTATAGGGGAGCAAGAACCGAGTTAATAAAGGTACTTGCAATGTTGAAAATTAGCGAATTCCTATGAATGAGAAATTACACAATAGTGAATAATAAATAACGATGAGGATATAGCATTCAGAGAGACATTTAATAATCATGCTGAATGATACGTTATAATTGGAATCCTTATTGGATCAACCCTGAATTAAGTTGTACAGCTTTATGGAAGAAAACCGGTTCTTTTCGAATCCGGAAGAAACATATGTCAAACAAATGTTCCCGGATAATTCACTGACGTTCCGCCGGTTTTTATAAATATCGACGATCGCGGTTTCCGACACGGAGTTTCTGCATCCGCATTTCTATATGACACGTGCACTTTTATACTTATTTGCACGGCAAAAATACTCAACAAGCATTTTTTGCTTATTGCATTTCTCGCGGAATAAAACTACCAGATTGCCGAGATTTTTCAAAATTAAAACAACATTGCAAGATGAAGCAAGATGTATGTCAAGGTCTTTATTTGTAACTGCTGCAATTAATTCTAGAAAATTTCTGTGCCAAATGTCAAATAGAAATATGAATTATTAACATGTTGCAATAAAGAAAATGTTGAATAGGCAGTCTGTGCTTCTAGTGACACATGATTGGAGTAATATTTATAATTTTTACATCTTGTGTATCTTCTCATGTCATGGTTTATCAATATTAAGTGCTAATGCACTTCGAATCTATCACGTTAAGTGTTAATGCACTTAAATCAAATTGTTAAATCAAATTAATCATGATGATTAACGATATTAATTGGTATTATTAATAATTTATAGACTTAATAATTAATTAATAATTAATAGACTTTATTTATTTTATTGTTACTGTAATATATATATTTTAAATGCAAAGAAAATCACGCTTTCTTTGCGTTCGTACAGACTGCATGACGGCGTTAAAGATGATGAAAAATGCAAGCTATTACGTTTCACGTTAATATGCATATTCTATAGTTTATCTAATGCACTGACTACTGCTTCATTATGTACTTTATAGCTGCATCATACTCTATTATTAATGTTCTGTGAAAGATCTTGCGCGGACGGAATGTTTTATATCAAGGAAGATTAATGTGCATAAGCTTTAAGCGCGGATTTTCTTTAATTTGACGTTTACCAATTTTTGACACAAAATTATAATACTCTTAGTTTTTAATTATTATTTAATTAATAATTAAGAATTTTTTAACGAATCATTCAATAATGTTTGCAAAGTAATAATCTTTTTTTTTTAAATACTATTTAACATATTATTGCAAAATGCTAACAAAAATAATATTTATTTAATACAAAACTTACTTAAGCAACGCATAACAATATTTGCAAATCAAACGCACCGCATATGCAATATTTTATATCAAGATGCCTAAAGGTAGATCTATTAAAAAGATATGAATATAAGCTTCGACCGAGACAAAAGGAGATCCTGTGTTACAATGAACGAGATCACCCAATCGTATCAAATGTAGGTTACATCCGAGTAACTAACACTGCTACTTCCGTTTCTCCTCGTGTGAAGTAAAAGTGTTCGCATAAACTCGCATAAGAGGCGTCGCGCGTGGCCGACCGCTTTTGCGCAATCATCTCATTCAAATTAGTTAGTCGATTTCGCATTCCGAAAATTTCTGGCGCACATCCTCGGAAATGTCATTTTATTATTTCTCGTTTGGATTCCTCGTCTTCTCCTATATAATTTTCATAAGTCATTTCTATTTTTTGCGATGATTACAGTATCGCGTGACATAATCGAAGTGCGAAGATCCTCCATCCACTTTTCAGACGTGGGAATAGGTCTTTTTCTGTTTCTAAGAGTACATATATGGTGCGATATTTATTTCTACAGTAAATAATTATGAATTCGATTCTTCGAACGTCAGGATATATTTGTAAAAATACAAAATTAGACAAAACATATTTTCTTCTATTGAAAAAATTAAAAATATTTTTTATTTTTAATTCATAATACTTTTTTTTATAAAATTCATATTTTATAGTCTGATCTTATATTGGTTTTTTAAAATTAATTTTTTATAGTCTGTTCTTGATTAGATTTTGTCTATCAATAAATATTCACAATTCTTATGTTAATAAATAACATAAAAGAAATATCCAAAGTAATGTTTAAAAATATGATCAAACGGATAAAAATTATTGTTTTATTTTATTTGAAGTTAACATATATTATATTGAAAGTTGTATGTGTTATATTTAAAATTAGAAGAATAAAATCTGTCGCAGTTATGAAAGTCATAACTTATCTTTAGATTTCATATGCCGTTAACTTTCATAATCTTTTTTTACGATCTTTCGATACACGTAGGCGGGACATGTTCTGCGTAATAAAGCACATTTGATGTGATACAATGGAGGCCCACATACGTATAAACGGATCAATGCTTTGCAATAAATCTCATTCGCGTTTTCCATTAATCATTAATTATATTAAGCATTTTGCATGACCGAGACAGAATTTGTTTGATCGCATTGATCCTCGAATTGCTGTATGTAAACATTATTCGCTAACTTGCGCCATTGATAAATCCTTTATGCATATAAATCACAAAAGCAGCTTATTGATGTTATTATTTGCGAATTTATCAAGTCTAAAAATGCATAGAGAACGTATTGCACTGCTACTCGGCTTAGAAGAATCTTTTCAATGATATATGGAAAATGAGCATAAATATATGCAATTCTAAATTTGATAAAAGCAAGAAAATAAATTAAAAACTAAAGTAGAATTAGCTTAACATTAAAATATTATTCAAAATTATAGTACTAAAATAAATTCATTCTTAAGAAAGGCGTGTATAAAATAAAATAAAATATAGCAATATTGCACATATTTTGTTTTTCAACATAATTATTTAAAATTAAAAAAAATTTTTTAAATCAATAAAACCATTATGTATTATCTTACCGATGGAGTTTGATGAAAGAAAATATGCCATTCGCGTTGACACTTATTATTAGCCAACAGATGCCGCCATTTTAGAGAATCCTCAGTGGTACATTATTGAATTTTTGAAGCCACTAACAGATCAATAATCCATCTACAACAGAAAAGATTGAAAACAGATATATAAATACTATTATTTATATATAATCAACATTAATTTTTTAATTTTTTAATTAATGGTTTCAAAATGAACTAATATTTATTATTATGTATTATTTGCAAATTTTGCAAATGCATCATAAAACATTTATTGATCAAATTTTTTTCTATTATTTATTTTTATAAATTTTGTGTCTGTAAATTACTGTCATGAGTCTATATGCAATGAATTATTATATTTGCTTCACACTTTATTCTTAAGCAAATAAATTTTTTGTATATAATATTGTAGTAGTGCATTTCTTTTTAAATAATTTAACAATATATTTGTTGGAATGAGAGGGGTGGTTATATACATTCGTACATAATCGTGATATCAGTAGCTGCGGTGTCCGAGTGGTTAAGGAGTTGGACTCGAAATCCAATGGGCTTTGCCCGCACAGGTTCGAATCCTGTCCGCAGCGATCTTTTTTTTTAACCTTGTTTCTCGAATTTCTTTATATAATATTTATGAAATTGATGTAGAAAAATAAATGGAAATATAATAGATCATATTTTTGTTACTTTCAATTTCTGTTGCATTCCGGATCCTTGTACAATTAGTGGTTGCTTGTACTCGCACATGTTATGATGCACGGATGCAATACGATACGTGCTAAAACTAACGAATTACATTTTTAAAAAACTTAAAATATAATTTTTTTATTTTTTAGACAAAAGTAATAAAAAGATCTTTTTATACATGATTAATATCGTGCGTGAAAATATTACAATTCGTATTCACAATAATTAAAATTGACATTACCATGTAAATATCTGTCAGTATCTCAAAAGAAAACATTTTAATATATATATGTATAAAAACATCTATGCTTATATAATAAACCGCGCAGAAAGTGATAATATTAACACACACGAGACTAATTCGAAAATAATTGGAGTATCTTTAAGAAGCACATACTATGTGCACATTATTAATTTTCCATATTATCAATATCCCGGATGACAAAGGGTTATCGCGAAATTGTCCGTTGTTTAATCGCTGAGATGCGGACGGAACTTTGTGACGCCGATTCCTCGGAGAAGGAGACTCGGCCATTTCGCGTATGTTCCGCTGCGATTAAGATGCTATCTCAATTGACCTATGGTCCCACCACCCTTCCCTGATTCTCCGCTCCGTTATCTGCCTAAGTGTAGACTGACCCTCACGCCGGCTTTCTTTCACTTCGCTACGAACCATCGTCCATCGAAGATGAACCGAAACAGCGCGCTGGCCGTCGTCGCCGTACTGATCCTGGCTTTGTCCACGGTCTACGCGGAAATCGTACATTGGACGTCGTGTCCTCAGCCTTCCTGTAAGTATTTTCTTTATCCGCGAGCGCGATCTTTACACAATCTGTTAATTAACGGAGCCGGCGACCAAAGAGGTCCGATAACAGATTCCATAAAAAAGTAACAACACGTTTGTCGCTCGTATCGTAATATCATTGACGATCGTTACTCGCGATCGACGTAATTAACGAAAGATGGAAAAAAGATAGAATTAGAAAATCATGTCATTTGAAGGATGCGATTGATCACATGTTTTTATCATGCTTGGAGCGACGAACTCTTTAATACGACTGCCTTGCATTGACCGCGCGCATAAATAAGTCTGAAATATCTACAATTCTGCAATTAAAATGCTTCAGTGACTCTTATTCGCACATATTTAAGTCCAGCTTTGATACAGCTTATCACACGTATATTTTGAGAATAAAGTTACGACGTTACGAGTTTGATGTATCGCTAGCGTGAAGTATTCTGTTTATTGATTTGCAATGTATATACAGGGTGATTCAAAATAACCTGATGTCCTTGCAATGCCATATTCTTGAACGAATTCTGAGACGATTTTTCCTTTTACAAAATTTTGTCCGAAGCTTAGTTTTCGAGTTATAATTGAAAATAGATAGCAACTTACGAGTTCGGTACAACGGGCAGGCAGGGACGCGCAACGTATAATGAGACTGTCAAGTGTTTACTATCGTCTCATGACACATTACACCCGTCCCTGTCTGTCCGTTGTATCGGACTCGTAAGTAGCAAACTATTTTCAATTATAACTCGAAAACTAAGCTTCGGACAAAATTTTGTAAAAGGAAAAATCATCTCAGAATTCGCTCAAGAATATGGCATTGCAAGGACATCAGGTTATTTTGAATCACCCTGTATACTGAAGCATGTGTAAATTTTTTCGAGGTTGATTTCTTTCGATTATATAGTACATTTAATTAATTAAAATTTCTTTTAATTTGATGATAAAATTTGTATTAAAAGATTTCATTGTAAAGGCTGAGATATGTATTGTGTTAGTTTATTGCTATCTTAAAATATATTGCAAAAAAATAAATATAATATAATATAATATAATATAAATAATATAATATAATATAATATAATATAATATAATATAAATATTTCCAAATTTATGTAATATTGGTTTAATTGAATTTATAAGACTTTATGCTCTTTTTTGTAGGTGACATAATATATTATTTCTGTATCGAATAGTACTAATAATTTATTTGTCTTAAAATTTAGAGATTGCATTTTCCCTATTAAAGTTTACTTAGATATTAAAGAGCATAACTGTATTTTAAGCTATAAATGACCTATAAACGCGTGGCTAGCAAACAAGAAAGACAGACAGATATTGAAGTAATAATGTTTCTTCTAAGCAAACAGAGAGATAGAGATTGAAGCAATAGTGTCTCTTTCTAAGCAAACAAAAGAGAGACTACTAGACTGAAATAGCACTGCCTTAATCATAGTCTTTCTCTTTCACTTATCAAACAAACGCTTTAAGATCGCACTTTAATCCTTTGTTCCTTAGTAAGATATTGAGCAAACTCATTTTATCGGATTTTCGTATTGTTGCGCCTGCAATAATTAACAATGAGATCTTTTAATTTCACAGAAAATCTCTATTGTCGAAAGAATAAAATTATCGGTAGTCTCGATCGATATATGTCGAAAAATTAGTTTAAAATATTTTGGTTGAATCTTTCCAGATTAATTAAGCATTTTTTTTCAAATTTGTTAATCAGATTTGACTAAAATATTAGATGATATTCGCACAAGAATTGAATTTAATTGATAGTTACAAAAAGCAGGATGAAGAAACACATTAAATAATAACATAATTTTTATAAAAATGCTTATCGCTTTATAAACAAGAAGATCAAAGCAAAGCACAATAATACTAAACATCGAAATTTCTCAATGATAGAGGCAAGAATTATTATAGATAAGAGCAGCATAAAAACGTTAATTTATTGCTCGTGTGAAAAAGCAAATACACTTCTCGAATATAACTTCCCAAATAAAATATCCTGGAGAAAAATCTACTAAATCATTGAGGTGACGAAACTTCGGCATCGAATATGCGGACCGAGATATGATTTAATAAATTTATTATTCACGCTTATTCGCCAATTATTTGCGAAAGCTTTTCCCAGTCGCGCGTTATAATTTATAACTGAGTCATTCATAGAAAATGAATCAAACACCTGGCATGCAACGAAACGAGAAAGAAAATTGCGAACTCGCTTTATCTAGGCGGAAACTTCGCTAGACAGCAGTTTCAAACTAGTTTGCGTTGATTCGCGAGATTACGGCAGCGATGACATGTGCCGCATCTTTGCGATGTACTCGTTTTTCTTTTTTTTTCTTTATTTATGGAAATTCCGCGTCTCATTAAGAATATCATGTCTTATATAGAAAGAAAGTGATGTACATTATAAAAATGTGTGAAAAGCATAGAATTTTAATACACACACACACACACACACACACATATACACACATTGATTAACGATGGTTGAAAAAAGCATATCCGCTATTAAACTCAAATAGTTACGTAAGTAAAAAGATATTTTCTTCTTATATAGCATAATACGGATTATCTGCTTATGACTAACTTATTTGCCTTTACTTCGATATTAACTTATATATAAGTAGCAAAATGTTTTAAAGATAAATTTATATATTTTAAACATTTTTTATATTTTAATTAACTGTTGCTCGATGAGATAATATAATATAATAAAAATGTTGCATTATTATAATAATGAATTTTAATTTTTTATAAGCTACATAAATTACGGAATGTAGCGCATAAATTAATAATGCAAGAATTAATCTGCCAAATCATTTTTTTCTGTATTTTTTAACACATATTTGTTGAAAGTAAACAAGATATAGAATTTTTAAAAGGCAATATAAATTTTTGATTATAAACAGACTTTTTATAAAATTTCGATGTTTTACTTTTATTACAGCTGAAAATGTACCATCAAATTGTACCATCCACGAGGTACGTGTGGATCCCTGCAGAGAAGCCGAGGAAAAAAAGCCCTGCTTTTTAAGGAGAGGGCGTAACGCGAGCATAAGTTTTGATTACACCACTGGTAAGCATAATCAAAATATTTTGACTTACATATTTAATAAAAAATGTAAATCATATAAATTAAATGAGCAAATGCTATGAGAAATATGGATATTAAAGCGGTGCTTAGAATAAAAACATTTTCTTCAATAAAATTAAAAATACAGTAGAAAGATATGAAATAATAAACAGTACATATTGCATTATGATCGTTTACGTATTTGTAAATAGCAGTAATGACATTTCCAAGCAAATATTGAAAAATATAAAATAAATGCTTTGTAATAAACGCGAAAAATTATTTGTACAAAATATAAAAAATGGTTTTAACTCACGGTTTTATTTTAATAGAAAGATATTTTTCTATCTAATATTTTTTATCAAAATAAGAAGAAATGTGCCAGTCTTTTTTACTTGCCAAAAACAATTGCTAATCTTAAAACCCGAGAAATGGATGATAATAGTGAAGGGCGCGGCGCGCGGCATCTTTTTCCATTTAAAATCTAGAATAAATTTGACTTATTTCTGCAAAAGCACTTACGTTATTTTTATTTATATGATTCGTAATGTATATACATTTCAAATCTTAATAACATATTAATGTTATATACTTTATTTCAGACTTTAGCGGTAACTTAAACAGCAGAGCATACTGGGCTTCTGAAATCATGGATTTGCCATTCTTGGGCATGCCACTCGATGCCTGTCCAGCCACCACTTGCCCAGCTACGCCTGGCCAAAGACAAACTTACCAGATTTATTTACCGATCTCTAAGAAATTCCCCGCGGTAGGTGATTTTCTAAACTTTATTGTAATTGCGCACTTTTATCTCACATGTTACATTTACATATGTAAATAACACACAATCGATAATACATGTTTCTTTATCATATCTATTTATTTTTCAGTTTTATTATTCTCGATATTTTTACGCATGAATGATATAAATGTCGATCGTACTTTTTTTATTTCGAAATATAATTAAATACTGAAACGATAAAGGTAAAACGATGTAAAGACATGAAACTTAAATATAATTTGTGAAAACAATTTACATTATATAAACATCTTTGATTTACAAAATTTATCTCAAACTACTACTATTATTTACAAATTTTCTTTTTTTATATTGCAGCGAACGTATGATCTCAAATGGAAGCTGTGGAATGAGCAAGGACAAGAATGCTGTTTCATGTTTCCAATTAAATTGCTGAAGTAAAGTTATTGTTCTTAAATAAACATTGTCATTCTACGTAATGATTATAATTCGCCGATCAATAATTTAGTGCAATAAACGATATATTCGTGTTAATAATCCTGTCTTCTGTTATTCGCCTTTATATTTGTGTCAATTCAAATACGTTGAGAAAAAAGAAGCGCGCATTAATAGTTCTCATGATACAACACAATTATTGTTACATGATACAACACAATTATTATTACGTTGTACATAATAGCAGCGCTAAGTAACGTTCCTAGTTCGTTATGATAGCTCAACAACGCACGAAAGAAAGAAATCGAATAGCATCTTTAACTTGCATATTTAAAAGTGAATTTATTTTTACACCAACTAGATGTCACTTGGTTTCTAAATGTTTCAAGCGGAAAGTGTCCACATTCGAAATGTCATCAGTGAAGTTTACGTCTAGAAACTTAAATTAATCGCAGCAATTTTAATAATTTATATGCTTGAAGTTTTATATGTGACAAAATTATTTCTGTCCGAAAAGTTAAAAATACAATATTATAAATTTAAGAAAATATCGAATAATGTTTCAAATATATTTATTTCATTAATTATGTGATCTTTGCATATATTTATAACTTATACATTTATGGACACGATGATTAATTAATATTTTTGTTCACTAATGTGTGATAATTATTATGAAGTATTTGTAATAATCAGTCGTAAGTTTGTTTATAGAAATATTAATACTGCGACTGCGTGATCTGGCCTACATACAAAGCATTCTTGATAAAGAGAGAAAGAGATAATGTAAGAGTTCGACGATCGTTCGTTCAGTTACACACGGTGACACACGGGACAAGGCAAAGGCCCACAACGTGGCGTGGTCTCAGATGACCAATCAAAGACGAGACCGCTAGAAAAATAATTGGCCACAATTGTTAAATTGTGCATTTCCTCATAAAAGTGACCGGAAGACGGTCTCGCCGTCGATTCTGTCGAAATTTACAATACATCTCAATCGTCGACGTGCAAGCTCGTTCGACTTGTGCGCAGTTTCTTTAGACCGCTTTAGATTCAATTATTTTGATTTTTCCCCTTTTTCGATAAGAAAATGTGGGTCATGCGGCGGATATTACCGGAAATGTTGTTTTCCAATCATTAATTACATTCGTCGTTCAAACAATTCTTGTCCGACCAACTTCTATTAGACAATTGTCTCTTTAATCGCCTCTGTTTATAAATTCGGTCGCCGGTAGGAGATCAAAGGTATCAGTTCCATTTATCTTCATGCGGTTACATTCACACGCGGCGCCTGCGATAATTATGTTTGTGGCTTACACAGGGTCGAGTTAGGGTACACAAAGTAGCATACATCAACTGGGCGACTGACCGAGCCGAATTAAATTAGCCGTACCGAGACATGAGATTGATATTTTAATATTACTCATTGCGTCTGACTGACGCAGAATATTATTTTAGCACGCGGTGAAATATTGATTGTCTAGAATTCATTGTGAATTTTAGAAGCCGTTTTCAATTATATATTTATTTTATTATTTTAATGTTGATATTCCAGAATTTCTGTACGTCACGTATGTATTTTAAATATTAAGTTGTTAGAATCATAAATATATTTTTACTTAAAAACATACGTAGGATTAACTTTTTCAACATATTATATCGGCTTTTTAATAAAACACTATTTAAGGATACTAATTCTAGTATCTATATTGCGTTGACAATAAAGTACTGATATTTTTTTATAGCTATTTATATTTTTATTTTTAAAATATATTAGCGCGCGTTACATCGAAAATCTAGGTGCGCGTTACATCATCTCTTAATCTGGCGAATGCATTTCAATTAAAATCAGATTTGGATAAATTAATACAAGCAAAATTGATCAATAATAAATCGCATCACTTTCTTATAATGTTAAAAAAAGTTTCAGCTATTATTCATCATATTAATAACAGATAGTAAATGTGAAAGTATTACTTACAAGCAAGCGGTATCTCTGAAATTTCATCGAAATGCATCATCATCCACTTTCGCGGATCCGATCGTCGTTTTCTCCGTTTTGCGAATGCAAAAATTAAGTGGTTAACGTGACGTTTAGTACGGCGATTAGTAACCATCGTTGAACAGGCGCGCAATTTCCGATAATTAAAAACCTCATGCCACGATACGCGCACGGAGGAGGCACTTCCGGCCCTCGTTACGATCGATCGAGAATAACTGTAAGCGGAATAATTATCATCTGGAGCGCCGATTACCGGCGCGGCTCGACGCGGCGCAGCCCGAGGTCAGGAGCCATAATAACAGATCACTTGCTCGACCCGTACACCATATACGTTGTAACTGTTAATGCGCAATTATTCAATTGAATAAGGCGGTTTTATTCACGAAGAAACTAGCCGCCGGCAAAAAGTTCAGAAAACCCGCCGCATAAACGTGCGACGAATTTTTGTCGACTGACAAGAGTGGCCTCATCATGTAAATTTTATCATGCCGATGATGAATTTTGATAATATTGTAAAATATACATATATAAAATATTTCAATTATCGAACATTACAAGTTTTCTTGAAAATTTGAAAAGAATTCTTTTTCAATTGAAATAATGAAACGTTTGTTACAACTTTTTAGATTTTAACAGTGATATTAAATTGTGATATTGGATGAGTCAGTGATAGAGTAAAATTGCGAAATATTAAGATACGGTCTATTTTAAATTTAAGAAAAAATAATATTTGAGTAATGGACACCTTAATTTTCAATCTCATTCAATTTCAAAAATTGAAAAAGAAAATTTATTTTAAATCTGTTAAATATTATTTATATATTAATTTATATATATTATTTTAAACATATTCTAAAATTGTTAATTTTTGAACATTTCTGTTATAAAACGATGATACATTTACATACCATAAAAAAATCGAGTACAAACTTTCTGTCGATCCTGGGATCAGCACTCTTTATTTTTTATTAAAGCTCCTTTGCAAACTACTTAACGTCACATGCCGTCATGTTTGTAGCAAAAATATATTGACGTGAAGTAAACCTAGAGAAAATTTAGTTGTAATTATTTATTAAATATAAGCTTTAACAACATATAATAATAATTATTATAATATTAATAATAATAATACAAATATTAAAAATAAAAATAATATTAATAATACAATAATAATAATATTAATAATAATAGAAACATTCATAGTGCTAATTAACTGTACAATACTTAATATTGATAGAAAACAAAATGGAAATTGAGATAGCGACACGTAGCACCAGCTAGAAAACTTAATTTGCATACCACTCTTAATGTATTAATTAGAACTAATTGCTACAAGTATAATGCACATAATTTGATTTATGAAAAGTACATTAATATTATTAATTAATAATTTTACTTCTACAGTCTACGTATCTTCGAGTAAAAGTACAAAATGCTATTACTTGAGTATTAAGTGACATGTCTTCTGGTTCATGTGACTCGCGATCACAAGCAGCGATTGTCATTGTCGTTATCATCGCGACAAGGGAACAGGTATCGATTCTTTGGTATCGACATTACACGGCGCATGTTGCCATGCGACCGAAATTTAGAATAATGAAAATATAAAGCAAACAGGAAATGTACTGGAAAAAGCATTGCTGTGTTAGTTATGTAATTAGATATATTGAATTGTTCTGTGTAAATGGTCTACGTCTATTTCAGAAAAACCAAATTATATTAAAATGTAACGAATGAGACATTCCGGAAATCGATAGATACAAACGTTTTTAACAACGCAGTAACAGACTCAGGAATAAAAATTTCATTCAATTTCAATTTTCTTTTTTTTTCGGTTTGTTATTCTATTTTTTTTACAAATGGAACTTTTCCGATAACTTTAATCTTAGGAAAAAATTAATTTAATTTAAATTTTAATAACACACAACGCATGTATATATCCGCTTTCCATTAATTCTGCGACACCCAGTGTTATCGGTAGTACAAGAATCTAGATTTTTGTAACAGAAAATCTCGGCCACATCACTTCGACAACGTCTGTACGTCTCTTTGGCAAGCATACCTTTGCGATTTGTTGTTCCCATGTGCGCGGTTCTTTTCGAGTTTAATCGCTGATTATATCAGCGCCACAAATTATCGTCCATGATAGAACATCATTCAGCGTTCAGTCCGGACGTATAATTTAAGTTTATGTAATAATCTTATTATATTTAACGATTGACATGCAAGAGCGGGGCAATCAAGGGCATCGTTGATTAAGTTATCTTTGTATCTCTAGTCATTTTTTTCTTGCATAAATATAATCGAAGAATAGATCTCCTGTAACTATCGAGAGTATCGATAGTTTTGGTAATATTGTATTTACATTTTGATTAGCCCTCGTAAATCGTTAAAATATTTTTTCAGTATCTCACTTAAAAGCTCTTTAAGCTTTTATTTTTTTTTGTTGCTTCCATGATTATTTTTTCCAATTAAAAGATTCATAATGCACGATAAATTTCTTTTCAATCCCAAGCTATTACTTTTGCTAAGCATTTGTTGCAAACAAATTGCTTAGCAATATTCGTAGAAGTACATTATCAGTTTGCGATGATGAAAAAGTGCAAAATATTCCAGGAATGATTACGATGATATTTGCGTCAAACAAACATGTATCATTGGAAATAAATTAAAAAGATCAACACCCGACGTTTATTACATTTTCAAAAATTCGAAATGCTCTGTGCAAAAACTGAATACACTATAAAAACTTGTAAATGCTATTTACGACATAATAGCAAAAATATATTATTTAAAAATTGCTTTTTAGATATCTTAATTAATTTAATTTTTCATATTGCAACCTTTTTTATATCCCATGTTTACTTAAATGCAAAAATTGATATTCGAGAAATTAATTTATAAAAAGTTTAACTTACTTTAGACAAAGGCGTCTTCTATCGATTAAATTGTCATTTTATGAACTGTCTACATTGGTGAATTAATCTCTTTTATTCAGGATTAATCTGCACTGACTAACCCAAGGCAGAACGAATCTGTCGACGACTCAAAGCCATTGTAAAATAATTGCACGTTTCAACGAGCGTAGTTTTCAGACGACCATTGATTGTACAAATGAGAAAAAGAGCCGTCGCTCAAACGGATGGTAACGCGTTTTTGTGCTCAAGGGTTTCTTTAAGCAGCGTCTTAACACGTTCATCTGTCGACAGCGGAAAATGAATTCCGCGCGAGATCTTCGTTCTTTATTCTCTTTTACATGGATTTTTTTAATTCCGATTTCCTTCTGTTCCTGTCTTGAAGCGTTTACACCGCGCGGAGGGTTCATACCACGTAAATCGGATCCTTGCATACCGAGATCCTCGCCTCTTGGAGGATTCTCAATCTCGGGCCCAAAGGAACACCCATCTTCTGTAGCCTCTCCTCGCTCAAATAAGGCAGCTCCACCATTCCGACTTTCTCCTTTTCGAAAGCGGCCGCATATTTCTACAATTGCGAAAGACATCATAATTATTACTAAAGAGAGAAATTTCGTCGAAGAATAGTAAAATTCCTTCATTTCAAATCGTTCCTGACGCAACAATTACTTGTACATCATATTAGTCGAACAATTTTCACTCCACATTTAAAAAAAGAATTACACGCGATATAACAATGGCATTCTTACCTCATACCCAAGTTCCCTCAGGAAGAGCCTGATGAGAGGTGGTTCCGTGCCGAAGAACTTGGTCAGTTTCTTCACTCTCGACGGATTCGAGAGCGCCGGCAGTTCCGAATCCTTGATCAGGGGCTGCGACTGCGACCTCACCATCGCCATGCTCGTTTGCGTTCTGAGAGCCGCAATCTCGCACTTTATGCTCTCCATTTCCTGCGAAAACCTGGTAGTAGTAGAGAGTCTTGGAAATTCTAGCTCATTTTGCACCGTAACTTTTAACGGATTTCTCTCACCTGTATCATTAGATGCTGAGTTCTCATTTCCGAACTCAGATGAGCTACCGATCTTGCTAGAGTCACTACGTGCGATTCCAGTCGCTGGAAACGCTTATTGATGCTCTGCAATCAAAGTTATCTCCTGCCGTTAAAATGACAATTTTAACAAAACAAAGTTATGTTTAAATTATAAGATATCACAGAGAGTGAAATAGAAATATAATACGTTTTAAATAGAACTGACAAAAGCTTGAATAAAGCACCACTGAAGAAATAAAATTATATGAAGAGTTTATGTAGAGAATATTTTATGTGTAATGGAGAAAGTAGAAATGTCATGTATCAATTTTGCTGACCTTGATGTCTTTGGCTTTCTTCATTCTGTCATCAATGACGTGAGATCGACGTTTGTCGTGATGCCTAGTGACGGGTCTCGATGATACTGAGGATGTCGGCAACGACGAAACCGAACCGTAACTAGTGAGTCCTCTCGCCTTTCGTCTCTTTTTTACGCTTCCGCCAAGTAATTTAAGTACCTGTGACAGTTTTTTTCGCATGCAAATTGAGATAAATTCAATTACGCTCGTGCCGCGAGCACTTTTCAGCGTACAATGTCTCTGTTAATTTTAATACGTAGTTCCATTTCACCGCAACCGTAAAAAAAGTCACAAAATGAAAAATCTTTAAATATGCGTGTGAGATAAATGTCAGCTATTTAATCTTTTCATACTTATAATTATATTAAATGGTTTCAAACAATAATGAAACATATACATCTTTACTGCGAATAATGTAAAATTCATTCATTAATAGGAGAAAATATTTTTCTTTAATTTAGAATGCTACAAGAATTATATATTTTTATCGTTAAAAAGGATAAAACTCTTGTGTAATACAATATTTTCGAAAAAAATAATAGCGAAAATAGGACATAGTTTGGTCAAAAAATGATACTCACTTCACTGTACATATTTTCTAATCCTTCCAATTGTTTCCTAATTGTTCTTGCATCAGCGGTACTGAGATCAGAATCGCTTCTGTCCAGCATAGAATCCAAATCAAGTCCCGTCGTGGTGGACGTTAAATCAGCGGCTTCTACTCCGAAAACTGAAAACACAATAGAAAATTATTTCTTTAAGAAAAGCGGTGCCTAGCAAAAATTATTATTAAATTTGAACACAAAAAAAAATAGAATAATATTGATTATTAAATATGTTTTTTACATAATAATTATCTGCAAAGTGATTGAAGAAGTACTTACGATGCGAAAATTTTTTCGCAGTTTCCTTCTTGGATGTTGAAGCACTACGATGCTTTGTATTGTTTGAGAAACCTCTTTTTTCCATAGCTTTGCTATAATCGCTGTAATTTGGTTTCGATCCATATGGTAAACTAAAATTTTCATGAAGATATTCTTATTATTATTATTAAATATTAAATATTTACACATGAAGGTAGCAAAGTGTCCAATTTGAACATATAAAGAAATCATGTAAAGATTATCTTGCTCTGAGATTGTTTTGTGAAATTAATTAATTGAAAATATTACGAAGAAAATAATAACTCAGTTATTTTCCACATTTGAAGAAATATAGCGGAGATCAATCTTTAATAAATTCATATATTTTTAAATAAGGCAATAATTAATGAGCTTTGAAATGTTATTCAACGCAAGATCATTTTTTAACAATAATTAACTAATTAAAAGATATTTCATTGAATGAATATTATACGCGTACAAATTTCGTAACTAAAATTTTAAAAGCTGCAACAGGGAAGCGTTTACTTTCAACATCATAGAGGCCGTTTTTCAGCCAGATATCGATATCGAAATTTAGATGCGCGAGTAAGGTAAAATCGGAAGTGATTCGAAGCGATGACCGGAAGTAACACCGGTTACGCGAAGAAGAGAGACCTGTTTGAAGTCGAGTTACCTCGTTGAGTATCGATTTCTCGGTGTACGTGGGCTGTCATGGGGTGACAGAGGCGGTAGAGGTGGTGTCACCGAGGACACACTTTCGGACAGGGTGGAGTGTGCCATTGCTGGAACGTCCCTGGGCTCCAAAATACTTCTCAACTCTGACTCCACTATGTCGACCCATTCGGAGTCTTGCACTATGAAAGAGAAACAAGGAGATAGAAACCTTCAAACTTTGATAAACCGGTAAATGAGAAATCGATACTTTGATAGAACTTTTCAAAAGAAAAATACAAATAATTGAATGATGGCAAATATAAATTGAAAGAAACAAGCGGTAGAAATAAATAAAGAAATGTGATAGTAAAACACTTCTTTCTACAAAGCATTGTTATTTTCTAGATTTTCTAAAACGACAAGCAAGCATTAATAAATGAAAAATATTGAAATATTTTGCAAAAAAGTTACTATTTTAAAAGATAAGAGAGAATTATTTTTCTAAAATTATTATTGCAATATAAATATCAAAGCATATGTGTATGATCAAAGAATTATAATGAAGCGGTTTAAAGTAAAATTAAGAAATCGATTCTCACCTTGCGCCAAAGTTTGATCATCGGGTGGCGGACGTCTTCCGCTTGAGTAAACAGCGGAGCCTCTGCCGGAATCGACATTTGAAGAACTCTGGCCGGCTTTGTCGTAATCCGAGCCTGAGCCTTGATTCTGAATCTTCAGTCGGCTGATACCTTGCTCCAGATCATCTTTCCTGCTATCTGATTTTGCAGCGGTTTCTTTCCCACTATATTGTGCCGCCTCGAGCCTCTTCGAGGCCTCGCCGATCATTTTCGTAGCAAGACCGACCCTCAAGCCGTCCGTGTCGTCCTTAAGGGGTTTGGTATTAAAATGACCCTCCTGTTCAGCTCTTTTCTGTAGCTCTTCGATCCTCTTCTGTACGGAGTTTCCCTCCGTCGAGTCATGACCTCCTTCTTGACCCGATCCTTGTTCCTGTTCTTTTTTCGACGCCCTCGTCTCATCCCTCCGAATGCCAAAGCTGGTTTCCGGACGATACTCCTCGTTCCTTTGCGACCCATTTTTTCCAAGCTCACTCTGATTTCGATCCTCCACTGTGATTTCATATCTAAAATGCATAATATCCCTCCATCTAAAGTCGTGACGGTTTATTAACTTTTTTACATATATATTAAATATATATTTTGTGCTAAAACACCCATTGGATTACAGGATTAAAGGCATTTTTCAATAAAAAAAAATATATATATATATTCTGAGCTAAAAAAGAATTGTTTCATAAAAATAGAATAAAAGCATGTTTTTTATTTTTTATATATTTTGTATGTTCCCATCAAACACTAACAGTAGCTAACTTAATACAATAGTTACATACGAAACATGTTATATTGCAGTAACGTTGTTGAGTTGAGAAATTATAACATTGATGTTACGCTATTGTTGTTTAGTGTTCGCTGGGTTGTATATATTGTTACGTAAAGCTCTCACGAGATGCTTCAGCTAACAGTTGCTTTCTCGGATTTTCGCTACGTCGACAAAATCAATATAATTGTCTTCAAGCCCTACCTTTCTTTATCCAACGGATCCACTGTAAGGTTCTTCATATTCTCCGCGGGATTCTTCGAGGCTTCCGCGTTCCGCTCATCCTCGTAGCAGAGCTGCGGTTGCGAGGCCGCCTTTTCGATGCCCTTCGTAGAATTCCGCCTCTGGAACTCCGTTTCTTGATTGCTCTCGGTCTTCATGTATACCTGGGGAACGCCGTATCGAGGTCTTCCTTGAGCGTAATGATAATAGACCTCTTGACCTGATACTCGGAGCTCTTGCGCCTGCCTGGATGTGCTCGGCAGATCAATCTGCGATCTCGACATGGCCTGTCTGGCCTGCTGGTACTGCTGATAAGAGACACTATTGGCGAAATATGATTGCTGCATGTTTCGCGCGCTCGCAGCTTGCGAGCTCGGCTGGCCGGTTATTTGCTGATGCATTTGTTGAATTAACTGGCGCTGATGCATATTCTGGGCGTGCTGCTGCGCGAATCGCGGACTCTGGTGGTGATTCTGATTCTGGTGAAGCAATTGCTGCGGGCTCTGGAAGCTCTGACTCGTCGGCATCGCGTTGCCCACTTGATGCTGCTGCACGGATAGACCGTGTGGTTTTTGCACTTGTGCGCCTTGCCCCTGAACCAACCAACCAAGCCCATTTGCAATGAGTTACCGTTAAGTGAATGCCTGGTTGCTTTTTGTAAATTAACGCGTTAATGCGTTAGAAAATTAACTCCAATTACGATTTAATTTATCTTCTTAAGATGCCTCCGTATATGCTTATTAGAAATTGCTTTTGATTCAATTAAATAATTACATGACTTATCTTTTTTTTTAATCAAGACATTTAATCCCCTTATTTTCGTAGCGTTTGAGCCGATTCTGTGGACTCTTTCTTACGCGATTTCTCACCATGCAAATAGCAGTGCGGAAAGTGTTAATGTACGCCACTATGAATAATATACCGCGCTGTTCGTCGGTGATTTAGCGTTCCGCGGCGCCGTATTCTACGGTCGTTCACTATCATTACATCAACCATTATTTAACAAATTGAAATGTTAGCGCGCGACTAGACAAGTATCAATCATTATACACGGCGGACGGAACATTTCTATGACGCTTGTCACGCTATATTACGTTACATCGTGTTAAATTCCGAATATCACAATGCGCGGCTTAATGTGTTCTGCACGTAGTCGCTCTTACGTAGGATATGCTTGGCTGAATGTCTGCGTTGTTATTTTATTTGAATTTATATAAAGGAAATGTCGCCATGATGCGACATATGACAAGCTGTGTGAGACATTTATCTTTCTGTCCGCTGAGAAATCTTTATTTCCTGCACGCGACGAACATCCGCGTAAGAATACACGACATACACGCACCGCGGTGTATTTCGTTTTAATATACTTTTTTTATAAAGTAATTTTATACAAATTTATTCTCGAAAGAGGAAAGCTCAAGTAAAATAAAATGAATTGTTCTTTCATGTATCTTATAAAAGACTAGGAAAAAGAGAGAAAATTATTTCTCTTTTATTTAAATATTTAAGTATAAAAAATATTTAATAACATCGCGAAAGAAGCAAAATGCAACTTTATAACTTTCATTTTTAAAGGTTGTGCTTTTACACAGGCTAGAATTTAGCAGAAATTGTCTTGTGTTATCACATTTTTTTCTCTTTTTCTCAAGACACATAGAATATTCAACAAATCTCAACTTTGAGAATATTGAAGTTTCGCTTCATTTCTTTGCTTGCGATTTTCATGGCAGTTAGATGCCGTGAATATTTCTCATTTTAAAAAGATTATACGAGATGATACCTGTCCTTGCGCGGCGTTCTGATGAATGCTCTGATGTATTTGCTGGCTGGTCATACCGACTGGTGTCTGAACCATGTACTCCCTCGTAACATTCTGCACCTGCTGTGCACCTGTCGTGCCTTGGCCGAAAGCAGGAACTTGGGTTTGATGAACCGTTTGTACTCCTCCTGGCGGAGTGTGGTGGGTCACGTGAAGTTGAGCGCTCTGTCCTGGTAAATTCGGCTGAATGGCTGTGGTCGGCTGCAGTTGACCTGGCAGAGGTACGTTTTGCTGGTTGCTTTGGTAGCTGTACGAGTGACCGTATTGTCCTGAAAGACGAGAAAGCTTCCGTAATATTTGCATTCAATCAATAATATTAATTGGATAATATTAATGCGCAAAAAAAATTAATTTCAGCATGGATCGTGTTCAATAAAACATGGCAAAAATTTTAAATATTCTAAATTTCTCTTTCATTGGGTTATATGTAAAGTTTGCACGTTATAAATTCATAGTGCACGTAGTATAAACGCATTAAGAAGGTACTTTAAGTACCTGCGAAAGGTACAGCTAACAACGTTGCATCATAAGCATACCCATTCTGAACGTTATCAGGAACGCTAAGATGTTCAGTATATCGTATGAATATGCATTTATACTATTAAAGTTAATTAAAGTTTCTCTTCTATTTATGTGCCAATTACTCGTTTGAAACGCAACTTTCATAAATAAGACATGAAGTTATAGCAACGCGGGCAAACTCGATAAGTTGGAGTTGGAAAGCACGACAGTACAGCGCGACAAAGTTTGAAATATCAAAAAAATCTTTACATAAAAAATATCCAAAAATACCCGAATGAGTTGTACAAAATTTTATGATTTATTTCATGAATTCTTTCGTCATTCATCGTTTAACGATATTAAACGTAAACGTTTTTTTTTTAACGTTTTTTTTTTTCTCTTTTAATGTTTGCCAACGATTTTTAAATCATATCTATAATTTTCATCGGACAGTTAAAAATTATAATGAAACAGTATTTTTATATTCGTGCAACAATAATATGACATTCACCTATTAATTACTGATCTCAATATGAATGAATTAATTAGACAGAGAGAAATTACGTAGTAAAGCTAAATGGTAGATCGCAAAATAATAGCGGAGATATCGCACGCGCGAGACTCTCGCATATTCGTGACTTTACAAGTTTACACAATGAACAAGTGCGAATAACAGCTGCGCGAAAGCAAAGAAAGTCGCGAGCAAGTTGCAAGCGACGAAGTTGTGACTTACTTATTAAATGTAAATCAAAGACATAGAATAGATCTATCTACTGTACCAATCAACTGTAGCAGGTGATATATTTGACATCATAATTTAAAGAGAGACGATTTGAAAATTATGAGCGCGCTGATAAAATCTTAAAAAATTTGTAATCCGTCGTTAATTTATATTAATTATAAAAAACGAGCGTATTGGAGATATTTATATATTTCAGTAGTTTACCGCGATTTTTTATTTTTTATCTTTAATTGCATGTAATGATAAATTATAATACTTTACGTAAGCAAAACTTCATTCAACAAACAATTAAAAATATTTTTTCTTTGCAGGAAACAATTTATGTAACGTTAATTATTAATTTTTACATAGTATTCTATGCTTGCAAAATCTATACTTTAAAGAGTTGCATAAAAACTCACCGTTACGCCCACTCGCTCGCACACGCCGCTTCATATTTATAGAACTCGCCATTTAACGTTCCGCTCGACAAGTTTTAGCCTCACGTTAATTCATCAACATTTATGAGCTAATTATGAGCACTTCGGTAAGCATCGCGCCTTAGCATGCCTAATTATCTAGCCAGCATTTTACTCAACCGCGTCCGACTTACCGTAAGCATTCTTCGAATATTGCTGCACGTTAACCGATGGCTCCTGCGCGCGAGGCTTCCCGTAAATTCCTTCCTTTTTCCTTGCTTCGTCGTCGTCGATGCTTCTGCTCGACTTCCGCAGCTCGTCTGTGACGTTGTTCAGACTGGCTTCCGGTTCCGGCTCGACATCCTTGCGACTCGGTCCGAAACGACTCGAGATCATGTCTTTAATGGTATGGTAAGTCCTGGAGAGCGACTTTGTCTTCTCTTCGTCGATTTTTGTCGTCCTCGACACTGTTCCGCCGGACGTCGATCTAATGGACATAGTAATGAAAAAGTTAATTTCTGATGATCACTTATTAAAACAGTCGTTAACGATCGAGAAATAATTTATTTTATTTTAGCGTCCATTGCATCGCATATAAAAGCAAAATCAAGAGAATATCTGATTAAAAGAAATATAGAGAGAATATCTGATTACAAAAAACAGAGAATATCTGATTAAAAAAAAAAAAAAAAAAAAAACAACGAAACGCGAGGTTTCTCTCGTATCTTTAGGAAAAAATCGAAATTTATGTGTGCGTAAAATGAGTAGAATAATTACGAGTAAGCGTCTTGTGACTGATAGTTCCTTGCTTGACCGTCCTGTCTTACTTCCTGCATCTGAGCTCCCTGCAAAAAGAACGTATTCGCCCGGTGAGCACACGTTGTTAATGATCGGCGCACGTCATTAATAAAATATTTTCTACGGACGTATAAATCACGAGGCGTGTAACGTCTACATAAATCCGTTAATTTCGCAACAACGGTTTCGTTAGACGCGTCCAATTAAACCGTCAAACGAGAAGTACATAATTACACATCGGCAGCATCGAAAACGCAATAACGTATCGCGAAGTGGTACTTACCGACCGCATCGACGGTACGTCGATTAAAGAATATCTAAATGCGAGGAGGTGAAATCCAGTTAAACAAAGTTGGCCGCCTGTTGTTAACAAGTTGTTACATTAAACAACCGCGAACATTAATTGTCGCGTACGCGAGTCACAAATTTCACATTATTAATATTCAAGGAAAGTTGTTTGCACAATTTCTATTCACGTCAAAAAACAATGGGAAACACTTGAAACTTTCGCGATAGGTAAATTATTTATTTACATAACTGCAAATTATTTTGTAAATTACTTTAAAAGAAATCCTACGAGTGTTGAAAATATTGCGAAAGACATGACAATATAAAAAATAACGACTATTTTAATATTGTCTGTAAAATTTCCATTATGCCACTTGACATTCTTACAAAAGGTGAACAACAAGAGAAACGCTAGGCGAAATGACAGTTCAGTAATTCCGCGCGCAATTCCTCAGGACGGATTCGACACGCGATTCATAGCTTGAAGCGGCGCGCCAGCGTGCATTTGTGACACAAGTAGTGTCCCAAAGTCGTCTAACTTTCAACGAGCGGAACTCATTCAAACTTTGTTCCCATAACGTGCTTCCTCGCTTACAGAATCGTTTAATAAAAGCGGAGACTTCGGAGAAATAAGCTTCCGCGATTTTAATGCTCATAATTTCGGTCCAGCTGCCGGAAAATTATGCAAAGTCAAACCTCCCCAGTTATGTAATTTCGCGTAAGGCGAGAATTTAACCATAATGTGGCCCACGTAAAAGAGATTCGTCGTTCAAACGAATGTTGTTAGGACGATTTGCGGAATCTATCTTCCCTCTCTTCAAAGAGAGCGCTGAGGAGAGTAATGTCTTGGTAAACCGCACGCGTTTATGGCGAACGTAGAATTAAGATGAAAGTTTCGCAAAAGCGTACTATTGACCAAATCAATATTAGATGGAAAACTTCAAAATGAATGCAAACTTTGGCATTGTCGTTTATTTATTTTATTAATTACTGTTGTTTTAGTTAATTAACTTCTAATATTTATTCTGAAATTAGCAAAATAAAGACTAAATATTACAATGTTGTATTAGCAGATAAATTTTACTGTGCACAGTATGAAAGCAATAAAAATGTGAAATTAAATCTCCTGCACATTTACCTTAAATTTTCCAAGATACAGTATGACACATTAACTGTAAGAGAGATTGAGAAGATTTACATTTATGTAAAGCCAAGAAATCAACAATCTTAATTAGTTATCGTAAACTGTACACTGTAAGCTCTTTATTGCGCAGACGCTATCTAAAACAGCATCATTAAATTAATATGATGTATTTTTCATCTCGTAACGCACGAGATTACAAACATTTTATGACAATGGCATGACGCGAATGTTGAAAATAATTGGATTCGGCGGTGTATAACGGGACGCAAGTGTGTCGAAGGTCATAAAATAAAGTCATATGTTATCCACTTTCCGAGATCGAATATTTTCCTTGGAAGGAGGACGTCGGTCAAGTAAAATGGCCGGAGCCCGGCGTGTATGTCTCGGCTGTAAGAGGAATTTCAAAGTTAACGCACTGAATCCTACGGTTCTCGAGAAGAGATGCGCTTGGAATAACAACGGCCTGCGTAGGGCCCCGCGGACACGCATCGCGCATACGGAAAAGACTCTCTGACTAATGGCCGCGCTGATACCGTGCCGGGATTACAGTCGTACAAGAAATAAAAATCTGAATTTCGTACCTGGGGCGCCACGCAATCTTTCATTGACGCTTTTCAGCAACTTGTATACAAGAAGAAACCCCCCCTGTACCGGAAATGAGACAGATAAGTGAAGATAAATGATCAAAATTCAACGAATGTATGTAAAAACGCTTCCATTTTTTTTTTTGAGAATAAAAGTGTGTAATTTATTTCACATCTTTCATGCGCCCTTTGTTCGCCCGGGAGAACTTTTCAATTCATAGCATTTTCACACATTGGAGAAACTTCCGCAAGAATACTGTAGTGCAAAACCGGACGGCCATATGTGATGTTAAAAAGAGAAAACAAGTTTGAAAGCTACAGCGTGGCTCCCACGAAAGTAGAAAGAAATTTGCTTATAGAATCCTCGAAGTTAGCAACACCTAAAGTTTTTTTGAAAGCGTTGGAAATAGGTTTACGAGCTACGTGGATCGCCTCTTGTTCAAACTCACGTTTGGCGCTGCTTAAGCATCGTGTCTCACACAATAATGCGTATTATGCAAAGTAGGTTTAAGTAATTCGGAAAGCAACGAAAGTTGGCCACTCCGCACACCGGAGCGTAGCGAATCCGTCGACTGCGGAATCACAGAAAACTTCCCTTTGATGAGCTCACGCGATACTTAAATCGCGATTTATTGCAACGCCAGAACTTCTTTATCGTCGTTGTCATTCTAAAAATGACATTTTTACGATCCTTTAAAACAGGAAAAATAATAAAAATGAAAATTACAGAATTTTCTGGAAAATTCATTCCGCGAGAGAGGAAGTATAAAAAGCGGAATCGTCATAACAGGAAAATTCACTATTGTACACACACATACAGAGCTGGAAAGCTTCCGGGGTAGTTTTCTGGAAAATCAACTAAGAACGAGGAATTTTTCCTTGAAAAGATCAGTCGAGCTTAACAATAAAATCGACTAGCCAATCGCAAGGTGGACGCGAGCGATATCGAGGGAGAGTATATTGCGTCGTTAGCAAACGCAATGCTTGCGAGCTACATCAAAGTTTGAGGACTGATTGCCCGAAGCGGCTCATAAACGAACACTGTTCTAGAATCAATTTTCGATGACTATCCGAGAACCGGTGACTGCACAATTTACCCTGCGTCATCTTGCAATCTCGTAAACAGAAGATGCCGATCCGCGGTGGATACGTATATATTACGGGCGTAACCGTTAAGGCACGCGGACGTCAATATCGTACGAAGAGATTACACGCATACAACTGCAGCGTTGCTGTTTCTCATGATACATCGTTAACGCAGATTTCCCGGGAGTAATCGCGCAGGATGTAATTTATCTCGATAACACAATATTAAGGAGACATTTTATTCCTAACTGCAACAAATTCTAATTTAAAAAATTTAAATTAAAAATATATCGTTAAATTAATGAAACAAATTAACTTGCTTTCATTAATGTCGTTAGACATTATTTTGCTAACAATAACAAAAAGCAATCATTTCTGTACAATACAAACGATAAGGTATAAAAATAAATATCAAATGTCAAATGTCGAAAAGTAAAAAATAAAAGATTTGAAAAGTTGTAATGTGAAATAAATAGAAAAGAATGGCAAGAGATTCTCGAGAGCTATTGTATCGGAAACATGGGTCATTTGCGAAAAAAATGAGCAAGGGAGTGTATGTATTACCTTTTGATCGGCTATCAATTTCCACACACCCATTCTTTAATCAATACGGAGCGGCAATCGAAAAAAAGGCACGTGTATTACACCTGACGCCCACGGAGCATCCGTGGCACGGCTCTCCCGTGGGTGGCCCGTGTACATAACGCTGCATGCGACGCCCGATTAATCGCAGGATTTCGTAACGATCACCGGATGACAATGGAGTCGTTGTCAAAGTGGGATGGAAAATCTGTTATTCTCTGACTACCGTCAGGAAACTACAGAGCACTAATGTGAGAGACTACGAATTGAATTTCACTTCACTGATCCGGCTTTGATTGAGACTCGACATTTATTAGATCGTTCGATTTTTAAGGCTTTTTTTTTTAAACACACCGCTTATATTTCAAATTGATGCAGATGTATGTAAAAAAAAAATGTGGATGAGGGAAAGAATGCATTTAACAGCAAGTGACTGAAGCGTATCTCGTTACGCTCGCGGCTCACTATCCGGAAGGAAAGACGCAAAAAAATCAGTGCGGTTATCCAACTCCTCCGTGAATTATCGAGAAAGATCAGACTCACCTCCTGAACCCAGGCCTGCTGCTTGATCGGCGCATCCGGCGCGATGGCTACTCTTCCGGCGGTTCTCTGTTTGTACTCGTGAAGAATGGGGATCTTGGAGTTTTTGTCTCCCGACGATAGGACCAACTCGCGTTCTATCTGAAATTTGAAGGGACGATTATCGTTTATTTAAAACGGTCTCTTTCGGCCGCATATTAACGAATTTCCTTATAAATATTTATTCATTCATTCAATAATTTCTGAATGGCTAGTTAAAATGAAATAAATTAACAATTCTGAAGGTATTGGTATAAATTATTATCATTTAAATATCCGTATTGCTTTAATTGACTGCATTTTTTATCATATAAATTTTATCCATTTTTTTCATTTGTAATTTTTTTATTTTGTGATTTTTGAATATACATTTTATATAAAATTATTTATTTGAAAATAATATACAATTAAAACAGATGATTAATTATTAATTAGTAATTATATATTTTCAGCTTGAAGTAAGCTATATTTCTTATCTTACAATTCTTATTTTTATTTCCTAATTTTTTCCGCAATTTCTGAAAATTATCTTTGCAAGAACAAGTGACTATTAAAGCAAATTAATCTGCTAATAAGCTTCTTTTCTTAGCCCCACGCTAGCCGAGTGTGGTCTGAAAGGCGCTGTATATACGTAGGTAAACAGAGCAAAAACAAACGGACGATACTGTAGTCCGCAGACAGCCATCGCCGAGAAATTTTCCGTGAAGCTTTCCTGGCTGATGGCGTCCACGCCAGCCAGGGTATTCGTGTCGAAGCGAGTTCGCACGCATAGCACGATACGCAAAGTGCGTGCAGCCGGCGCAACACGAGCGACGTGTGCGTTCGTTGCGTGCGCGTAATAACGCGCTCCGGAGTAGGTGTCACTGAACTAAACTGGCTGCAACATCGGCCGGCCGCTGCAACGCTAGGCATCGCGCTCGGAAGAAAGCAAGCGTGATGAAACGAGCTACTGCCGCGGAAAATAGATGCACGTAGGTAGGTAAGCTCCGTGCATAATCACGCTTGCGGATGCAACTATGTACATGAGTTCGTACGCTCTTACGAGGATCGTACTTCCTCGAGTCTCGATTCTCATTAATCCGATCGGAACTAAATGCGTAAAAATTTTTCAGAAACAATCAAGCATGCTAAAGAAGTAAAAAACTTCAATATTCACAGAATGAATATTTACTCCACATTTTGAATACTGATACATTTATTTGTTTCAAACATGTAAATATATAATCATCTGATGAACGAATGTATATTTTTCACATGTAAATATTTTATAAAGCGGACAGATGTAATACACAATATATTCGTAAATGAAGATATTTTTTAGCAAATCATGACTTGTCTGACTCCTAACGAATCACTGTTCAAAGGATAATGTTTCGTTCATTTCAGTAACCAATAAATATTTAATTTTCGAATTAATAATTAATAAGTAGATTTCTCTTTTTTAATGTATGCAAATTTTATGTACATTAAATATTTCATTCGAATAATAAAATGGCATACAGCATTATTTGTGAATCAACAAGCGAATGTATATTTCAGTCATAAAAGCGCAAGAAAATAATTATATCATGATGCATTTAATACACTATATTATAAATATGTGTGTTTATTAACGATTTGTATTTACCGCAAGTATCTGTGTTTAATACACTAAATATAATTTTCAATTTTGTTTGTTTAAGAGTAATGAAAATAAAGTGGCACCATTTAACGTTAAATGTGCGAAAATAACAGGATAAACTTTATTAGAAAACTTGGAAATGTGCAGCACAACGTAATTTTCTTCATACAGCGATTTATGTACTGCTTTCTTTGCTTGCTGTTGTTGTTCTTGGAAGTAATCCAAACGACTTCTCTTTTTCGAAAAAAACAAACCCGGCAGTTTCATCAATAGTTTTCTCAGGATGGTTGACGAATATGTGACGTCACATATCGACGAGCTCATACATATATATATGCACTACGGCGTGTTGCATCATAAAGCTGGATTATAAAAAAAGCTCGGAGCGCGACGGAGTGGCGATGTTTTGCGGAAGAAATAAAGCGTGTTAATAGAGGAACGGCGTCATGAGTATGCGCGTACACGCGGTGCGTCAGGGCGTAAGCTCGCGAATAAAAATACCGATCGATTCGTCCCTTCCGGGACGATAACAGAATGTGATAGAGCCCAGAACTGTGCCTGCATCAATGGTATTGGATTCTCTGCGAACTACTTCTTTTAATTCCTTAGCGCTTGGACGATGAATCTTTGAGAAATAGTCTGTTACGGATAATTCTATTAGTAGCGATAATAGAGAACATAGAGATATAACATATTGCAGCTCGCGTACATTAAATTAGCCTCTTCATCTCAATTTAAATAAGACATTCTTTAATTAATCCGGTATTGATTCTCTTAATTACACTATCGGTGTAACGGCTTCCAATTTATAATTGAAAAACGATAAAGGATTTTCTATGATTTAAAGACTGCATTTAAAGACTTGTTTTTAGACTGCAATTAAATAACAAAACTATTCTACGTTAAAAAAAATTAATTTGCAGAGAATCCATGTAATTTTATGCTATACGATAATTAAATCTTATAGGACAATTGATCGTGCCTGACAATATCTATAAATTAATTAATGAAAATATGTTTCTGATTAATCAACGTGATGGATCGCGCTGCTTTTAGAATTTTGCTCTCTGATCGAATGAATGTGTATGCATGCGTGCGTGTGTGTATGTGTGTGTGTGTGCGTGACGTTATGCAAGCCAGCGGTACAACGTGGAAAATTAGCGATAAAAGCACTGAAGTGCCAAAGACAGAAATGCAAGACGTTGATTGCCCCGATTTATTCTCACCTGCGGTCGTCGATTCGCGCGGAGAAATGTGGTGTGTATCTAAACGGCTATCGCGAGCAGGCTCCCCTTCCCGACTTCCGGCGAACGGTACGCGCGTATGATGCCCCCTTTGTCTCGGTGGAGAACCTCTGAGAACCTTCCCAAGAACGTAACTAGCGTACAACGAACTGTTACCGAAGATTTCTCCGAGGACTGGCGTGCTAATTCCGCGCTAATGCCGAACGCGGAAGATCAACGCGCGCCGTTCGTACGTTATCCGCATGATTACATGAGCAAGTATGCACTGCTAATTAGATACAATTGGCTAAAATCAGATGACGAAAATAAGAAGATAAGTCATCGCGACACGTTCGGTACGCAATTGTTTCAATAAACAATGGAGAAAAGGAGAAATTAAAAATGAATTGCGGACGTCAATGGAGAAAATGGACGAGATAATTACTGGGCGAAATAGGACATTGTGCAGAATATATTTGCACAAATGCTTTTAATAGTCAAATGATTATTAACCATTAGCGATAATAAATTTAATAGAAAATGCATTAGGACAACATAATTAAACTACATTATTATTGTAAATTTTCATTGTTGCATTAAATAAATGGAATAACTGTAGCTTAATGAAGAAATACGTATAATTTATCAAACTTGTTAAATTTGCAATATTTGAAGTTCCCGATTGTAATTATCTTATCTGATATTTGTATCTTTTTTTTTTCATTGCGAGAATTCGGATGCATAGAAAACCTGTTAAAAGTTTTAATAATCTGTCAGTAAAACTTTTGTATTTCCCGTGATTTTCTCATAGCGTAGCTGTAAATGGGCGCGTGTTCAAGAAACCTAGTATAATTCTAGAAAACTCGGTCGTTTATACCGAATAAAGCGTTGCATCTTGAATTCTGTCTCGTTCTTTCTCGCTGGCCTTTAATTCTGCAAGAAGAAGCATAAAAAAAACGTGCATATTGTAGAACTACCTTATTTAGAGAGTTGCATACACTCGTCACGTCAATATAGCAACCTTTATAATTGCATGAACTTGCCACCGAGAAAAATTACTAGTGCAGTTTCTATAATTAATGAGTATCCGATGAAAAGCGTAGTTATAAATAACGTTCAAAGGAAAGAAAGTCTAACTTGCCGTCATAGATATGTATTAAGTGTCCTAGAAAAGCTATAACTTTCGTTTTAATTCATTAACAGACTCGAAGTAAACTTTTTATTAAAGAGAATTTCGAGGGAAGTTGTCAATCCTTTGATATTCGATGTATCGATAATTCTCATTATTTTTTTATTATTAAAACGTGAATATAATGGAAGGAAAATTTTACGAAAATTTTGCATACGACTAGAATTTGAGAGAAACGCATTTATTGAGAATGGAAATATATTCGCTCTGGGCCGGGCAGGATTTAGAGATACCATTCGCTGCATTATGCGCCGCGGCACATCGTTAGATTCTTTTTCCTCTCATTGTTCCTGGTACATATGGACCATCATGAAGCAAGCAAGATGTTGCGCGCTCCCGTAATCAGATAATTAGTGACCTGCTCGTTCAATGAAGGCTGTGCTGGCCCGAGCGAGTTCTAGCTCGGGAAAAACTGAGCGAAAAATTTTCTATGCACAAAAGGCAGAATTTTAACCAGTCTGATGTTTCAGTAAATTCTGATTTCAATGTGATATATACATGAAATTAATCTCCATATCTATCCGTAAAGAAACTTTGACGGAACGATAGCACAAAATGTATTTATAATTTGCGAAATTAAACTGACTAAAATTATACAGTTTTACATAAGTCAATTTTTGGCATTGTTATTAAAAGCTTTGCCGCTTTGTGTCTCAATTTCGCAACTTTGGGGTTCATTAATTCCTATAACGTGGGCTTATCTTGTTGAACAGAAACGGGATGATATCTTTGTTATAACTTAATCATCGTTTTATGTTATTACACCATAAATTTGTTAGAGTGAGAGAAGTACTGATAACAATAAATTACATCCACCTTTAGCGCCTATAATACTCTTGATTAAACGCTTTACGCGCTTCCAGATACATTAATTTATATTGAAAGCGATCAATTTTTTATGTCATCGTTATATTTACCTCTAATTTGAAATTACAAAAGAATTTTTCTTCACTCGAGTATTTTATATTTTTACTAGAGTGTTGTGCAGAGATATAATATAAAAAAATTAATATATGTAAATACAATTCTAGAATATACTTTCGCGAGAATCGCATCTTTAATCGTCACGAAAAGTAGGAAAAGATTAGGTAACAAAAAAATCTGACACTTTACGGCATCAAAGTTTTACGGAAAACCGGCGAGGAAGTAGCTGCTAAAAGCAATGACGCCATAATTTCGCTGTTCACATGCATTATTGTACTTACCGGAAACTTGCTACTGTGAGTTTGCAAACTGGCCGCCTGTTGAGCCTGACTCTGTTCGTCCCCGTACAAGGGTGGCATCCTGTATTCCGGTGCGAAGGGCTGCCCGGCTGCACTTCGAACCTGCCCGTCTTCTGTGATGCCGGTCCTTTCCGAGCCGGAAGTTGTTCGCAATGACGAACGCTCAGCTACCGTCTGCTCGTCCTGCTGACCGTCCTGGCTCTTCTGATTATTCGGCACCGGCTTCGGTGGTGGTACTGGCTTGTAAGGTCCTTCTTCATCTGCAAGAAGAGATGCACGATTAGTTTTAACATTCTCATTTGATGCAAAATAATTTATTTATTCTTAATTAAAAATACGTCGAAGTTATAAACGTAAATATCGTGGTGAATTGAAATTTTTGTATAATTCTACGTGACTTTTACTACTTTCGTTTAATTTATTATGAAACTTTTGACAGAGAATATTTTGGCAGTTAAAATTAATGTTTAGTATACACTATATATTTTTCGTACGCTTTTGGCGCTGAATAAAATTGGTGAAGTATAAGTAAGATAAATATTAATATATTCACCGTCACGGCGCATCTCGAAGTGTCTGCACGCCTGACATGAATGTGTTAAACAAGTTATTCAAGTGAAAGACATAGTCAGCAAATTGCTATGTATTATACATACGTGCTGAAAACACTGCGTCAGGAATATCTTATATATTCCCGCAGATAAGAACATAAGCGCTGTATTTCCATTAAGAACAATAAAATATTCGAGCAATAATATTTATGTAAACTGGCCATTTGGTCGGTAAAATATTAAAATACATAAAATCCGCGAGTAAGACCTCGGCTACGGCTGAGGTACGATTATTGCACGTCAATTTAGGTCTTCGCTTGTAAATAAATGCGCGAATAGCGACACTAATTTCTCCCTCAACTTTACTCAACGATTTACGCACTGGGGCCGCGTAATAATATTTTCGACGCAATTACAGCGGGACGATCGTAACATAACTAGTTATGCGCGCATATCTGCATTACGTTATTAGCGTCATATTATATTCATGCAACGTCCTAACTACCTTGCGTTTATAATTCCGAGGGAGATGCAGCCGAACGATATATGCGTTCCGGCGCAACTAGATCGTGATTAGAGGGCTCGGTACCCCCAGGATAAGAACGTATAAGTTACGTTACGGATCCGCGCAATGTGCCTCGCGATGTGCGCCAGTTGTCCATTAGCGAGAGAGACCGCAAGCTCACGTATTTATATACCTTGGCACTGATTCTGCCGCCTGAGACGATTCTCCTGCTTGACTTTGCGGACGGTGGTGGCCATCGCGTGTTGGCTGACCATCTCTGACGAATACTTTCGCAAATGCACCTCGAATCTCCTCGTTCTCTCACCCTCGGCGGCTCTTCCAATTGCGATAAGGTCTTTTCAGCTCGACGCGTGTCGCTCCAGATAACACGCGCTCTTCGATTTTCTCTCGCCCACAGCCATCGTCGATTATTATAATCGTCAGCCGCAATCTAAGCTTCGAACTGTGAGTGTCTCGAGCTGATCCCGGGAAAAATGCCACGCTGATCGCGAGAAAGCTGTACAGATGACGGTCGAGATTTGTGGACCACCCAAGGCACGATTTCTTGCTCGAGTGAAAAGTCCTTTCGTCGCACGTCAGCAAATTCTTCGCTTTGTACGAGAAAGAGACTCGGTGATGACAGATTTGCTACCGCCTCGCCGTTGTGCGAGCATTTTATAAGATTACAAAGCTCGTTAATCTGTCTTACAACGCTATTGCTTGCTTCAAACTAGTTTTGCTCATTTCTCGAACGTGAACTGGGAAACTTCTCTCGTTTAGATATGCTAATTTATATTTATGGTGTCATTCGTCTTTTTCTGTAATTGACGCACAAGAGACAATGAGCACACTTTAATTAAAGAAAACAACGAGGCGATAATACAGTGAATTAAAACATATGCTATTTCGTTAACGCCACTTCAGAATTGGGTTAATTAGCATTCTTCGCGACGAACTGCCGCGTTTCACCACCTTTTGTTTTACTCACGAAAATCACATAGGGTTTTTTTTTCTTCCCAACGACTATCGTCATCTTGTCACTTTTACGCAAAAATGCTTATTGTTCCACGCAGCAAAAACTCGTCTATTTTTCATGTAGTTGCACATGGAAAGAAAACGCGTCTGAACTCGACTGCGGACTAACTTTCCTCTTTCACCGGGTTTTATTCCGCGAAAAAGTTCGCTCGTGCTGACGAACGTAAATTTTCAGCGTGTTCGCTTCAGCAAGAAGATTGTGGAACAATGTCGATCATTTTCTTCGATTTTCCAGGTGAAACTGCGGACAATTTATCTGGAATACGTCGGCACTTTTAAATTTTCCCGCACTGTTTCCGAAATGGAAGTTAATGTACAATGTTCCTCGCAAATTTATCGCCTCCCTTTTTCTTCGCGGAGAACTTTTTCCTCGCTATCGCTTAATGGCGAGTTTCCTTGCGCGTTCTCTTTCTCTCTCTCTTGACGGTTCTTGTAATATCCACGATCCAATTTATTCAACCGCTGCTGCCTTGATTACTCGACGATGTTATTTGCTGCTCCCCGTGACTTCCGGTGCTTCACAATAAAACGTACTTTATTTGCGACGATAACGTAACCCCAAACAGATATTTCTTCCACATTTTTTTTATCATTTATTAACTGTACCCTTTTTTTTTATACCCGAACGAGTTATTATTCCATTTCCTCCTTAAATCTAGCATACGATCAAATTCCCTGAATGAGAGTACAGCACAGTCACAACAAGATCAAATTAACGAAATTTTTTATTACGCCATTATTAATTTAATCCTTCGAATTGATTTCGCGGATGTTACTTTCACAGTTTTTTTATTCATCAATCCACATATCAAATTAAACTAATGTTCACATATATACTTTCAATTTAGTTCTTAATTGTCGCGTCTTAATCTTCTTGCCCCTAAATTCTCTGCTTATTTTTCCTTGACTCTTTGTACTTCCCTAATCTTTCCTTTACACTGAATATCCTAATATTAACACTCCTAAATCCCGGAGCTTTCACTAAGCACTTCATCAACTTTACTCGTAACTTTCAACGATCCTCCTCGAAAGTGAGGTATCGACACAACGCACAGGTCTTTCCCGGCAGCTGCTCACGCGTGACTCGCGTTCGCGCGAATGCTGAGCGCATCGGTCGAAAGAAGCGGATTTTCTTCGCGCGGGAGCGAACGACGCGCGAGAGCGTATGTAAAGCACCTTAGAGCAACCGCGCCGGTGGAGCTCAAACTTTCCATTGAGTGAACGTCTGGTTCCGCCGTTCTGACTTCACTTCCGGTATCGTCCCACCACGAGGAGTCATTATAGACGCCGTCGGCAATGGGTGGGAGCGAGACGGCGGGCGGAGAGGGATGAACGGACAACAACGGGGAGTGATTGTCGGAGCAGGCGACCGAGATCGTCGGAATGGGAGAGAAAGAAGGAATGACGAAAGAGGCGAAAAGGGAGAGAGGCGTAGAAGTTGCAGAAGGGACAGACCGACACACTGGGATAATTTATTCCGCGCATGAGCGCGTATGAACGCGACCGGGCTCCGCGACGCGCGTCCGACGAATATCAAGCTTCGTCGCTACCGTCAGCGGTCCGCTCGATCACCGATCGTTAGATCCACAGCCCGGAGAAACGCATGAATTCACGTCCATCACGAATTTTCATTTCCCTGGTGTTCCGTTCGTTCGGGTCCTTCTGTTGCAAAATCATCGTGCTTCCCGAGTGAATAAATAATTTCTTTTCTGCTTTACGTGAGAAGAAAAATAGGGATTATTTTATTGATTAATTTGTATTCATGATGATTCGGAGTGATTAAACTGGAGTGCATGTGTGATTTGGACTCACCGAATCTTTTTCTAGCTAGAATTTTTTACATCAAAATTGGCGAGATCTAAAGTTTTTAGTCAGATACTTAGCTATGGTTTAAGGATTAATAGGAGTTAGCGAGAGATTCTCTTATAATTCCTTTCGTGAGCTTAATAACTTTTAGCGGAGTTATGAAGCGTAACGTAAGAAGTTGAACGAAGTTTAATCACTCCAAGACATACTGAATTCAATAACGACTCTTCTGATCCTCAACTGAAAGACAACAGTCGGTTGTTCTCGTGACAAATATTAACTGATTGATTTGTTAATCGTTTAATTCCTTACTTCCGCAAATCGAAGTCGATATAGTATGCTCGAAAAGCATGAACTTACAATTGATGTGAATAATATTTAATATTAATGTTAAGAGTTCTAATTAAAATTTATTAAATGGTTGAAAAACATCAATCCACACGATGAATCCCTTTTATTTTTACGATCCCGCACCAATGAAACCCGCATCGCAATTACGGACGACAATTTGATCGAAGCGCAGATTTGTATCCATGCCCGTATTGCAGGGTGAATTAGGGCCTGTGAGATTCAAAGAAAGAAAAATTCGAACGCCAATTTCTACCGTAATAATACGCTGTAGCATATTGAGAAACAAAAAAAAGACATGATCGAAATACAGATTAGTGGCTACCGATTGCGAGGCACCATTACTGACAGATGTGGAGCACGCTGGAGATGAGAGCAAATAGAATAGCTTTTCGCGGTGACGCGGGGAAAATCGGTTCGAAGATTAAGAGGCACAGATCTGATCTGCTCCTTTAATTCCTGCCTCGATCGGTGTGCAATGTTCGAGTGCATTGATCTTCGTCTTTGTCGTGTGTGAAGAGATATAACATGTTTTCATCATATGCTTGATTTATTTCTAATACATATTAAGTAGATCTCACGGTTGCGAGGCACGGCTTTCAATTAAGGATAACAGATTTTAATTAGCAGCCTAGCGACGTTCTCCAATCTCTCTCATTCTTCTAAACAAGCGCTATCAGTCAACGTAATCAGTACTCGCGAAAAGTTGCTTGTTCGCGGTAAGGCTAATCTTGTTTTTGCTTGATTGATTATCAGCATAATTTAATCAACATAATGAAATAAAATCACATAAAGTGCGTGGCATAATTTGATCTCTTAGCAAGACATTACATGGAAAATATTCCAAAACCATGTAATATTTTAAACACAAATTTTTTTATCAATTTTGTGTCAACCATTTCTTCACCAAATGTCGAGATACTATATGGCAAAGTTTTTAATTTAATTTTAATTTCTACATTTAAATATGCAATGACAATTATTATTTTTCATTTAACTAAAGTTGAAAAAAATATAATAATTAGTTACGTTTTCATACACGGAAGGGAAAAAATTAAAATTTACCGCGGCTATAAAGTCCCGCATCCATGGATCCACCCACTCACTCTATCCTATCCGTCACTTTTAATGGATGGATCATCACCTTAACGCTGCCGTAGAATTACTATCTTTCTTCTTACTGCTCGAGAGATCAATCAGCGGATAAGAACTCGTGGCTGTTATTGGCAGAAGGCGCGCGCGGATTTCAGTTACGCCCACCTGTCGATTCCGTCTATTTGAAGCGCGTCTTTAAAATTTCCTCCGGCGTGAATTCTCGCGGTCGATCCGCAATCTATAATTACGTTAGTTTTTGCGCGCGCGAGACCACGTCAACCTGCCAATGGCCACTGTTACCAAATAGGGGATTCAAATATAGAGCTGTAAAGCTAGTGACAACGAGCGCGCGGCCGGCTGCGGCTCCGCGGGGAATCGATTAATGATTCGCAGAGTCGATCGAAACTCGTCGACCGGAGCTGATATCATGCATGTAGTCGTTTCCTATTTTCTCGTCTCTTCCTTTTTCTTCGCGAACTCGTTCTCGACGAGCGATTCAGCGCCAGACGACCGCGACCGAGTCAATATCCACGCCGATGCTTGTGGATCCGGGATTTTTAACGAGCACATATACCTGCTGCACTTACCCTTTCGCGGCTAACTTGATGGCCGCTCGCATCCACTATCGATTTCTGATATCGAGCCCGATTATGCTCGCGCGAAGGCGCGTGAAACGCGAGATTATACATGCTGGTAGGATGTATTCTTAAAAGAACGTCCGGATAGAATAACTCTGTCCGCCAATGTTATAATGTAGTGCAGTGTGCATATATATAGATCATATCCGAGTAAATCGCGCTCCTTTCAGTCGTAGATCTCTTGATAAATTAAGTGTTAATTCTTCTGCAGCGAATTAATTAATTTCTAATCAGCTAACAAGAAACATTCTCGCAATCAGAATTTCCGCGTTATTACACACTCGTACGGTATTACGCAACACATTCCCTTGGATATAAATTATGAAAACATTATAACGGGCAGAAATGCTTCATTTCGCATGAATAATAACTTCACTGTTATTATGCAGCCCTTTTAACTTTCGTAGTGCTGTTATTTCTCCATTTCGCCCGCGAGCATTCGTTGTTTATACCTCATCATGGCAGTCTCTATCGCTAATAGCCGCTGTAGCGTATTCACGTAGCAATTTGCCTGGAATAGTGTCATCAGGCTGTCAAATAGAATATTTTTTGTCTACAAAATTTCTAATTCATTTAGAAACTATTTTGTTGATCAAAAAATATGATTAAGCGTATAACATATTTCTATCGTACAATAATGTACGAAAAAATTAATTTATTTTAACAAAAAAAAAAAAAAACATTAAGAAATAAATTATTTATATGAACAGTAAAACAGTAAAACGCTTTTTTAATATCAAGATATAAAAACTTATTGCAGATATATTTATATGCGATATAAAAAGACAAAGATTACGAAGAAAAATGACGATTTGTGATATCTCCATTAAGAAAGCATCAATTCAATATTGCTTATAGAATCTATAAATAAAAGATAAGTCGATAGATGCGGGAAATCCTATACAACATATTATCTGAAACAATATCGCATTTCTCACGATTCCCGGTTTACTAATGCATAATTAAAAACGCGGATAATGGTATCCAGTTCTCAACTCAAAGATCGGCGCTGCTAGCATCCTTACGCGTTGATACTGCCGTTAGTTTCGCACCATATCGTTCCTCTCTGAGGTAGTGTATCGCTGGAATAAATCTTCCGCGATTCTTTTGCTTTTCTAACTCCGAGGGAACAACGCGCCAATCGCGATCATCCTATTTAACCGGTTCGCTATCGGCAGATAACGCGGCGTCATCGTAAGATCCGCTGTGACGTCCGATGACGCCGCTCGTTCGCCATCATCGCTTCTCGCCGTCTCCCTGCATTTTAAGCACTCTCTTCGCCCTTTAACGCTTGCTCGTTACCGCGACGTGCGGCGCGTACGTGGGAATGGCGTTGAGGCTCGCAATGGCAATGTACGTAGCGCTGTCGCGTTCGATGTCGAGTTTACTCGTCGCAGTTATCGGCGACTCTCATCGACTTCCAACGCTTGCGTCCCATCGCGACATTTGCCACTCGGAAAAGGGGTATATAGATGTTGACGAACTGACAATGAAAAAGTAGCGAGATATTAATAGTACTCGTCAAAATAAAGAAAAAAAATTACCCTTTAATAATTGTCTCTAGCCGGTACTCATAAAGTGTCGAGAACAAACGTTAGATAAATAACATTTAAAAATTTTTAAAATTTTTTTACACTGACATTTAAAGGAATTTCAATTGAATTCGATTTAAAAAAGTAACTGTTATAATGTTAAGTCATTGCTTAGCGATCTATTTTACTCTCAATAATTTTTTTAATTTTAAATGTTTCTAGAAAAATTAATTAAAATTATGTGCATTATTTTCATAAAATAAAGAGTGATGATTTTTTTATCATCAGAAGTTGTGTACTAATGAACCTGTGGTTTGGGAATTTCATTAATCCTGTTAATGGTCGAATGATGCAGAACGATACACATGATTAACCACCCGAGAGATTGCTGCTATTTATTTAAAAATTAATTATAAAATTCCCAAGATACTACTATATAATATTTAAAAACCCTATCCTACGCTTAAATATATAGTGTAATCATCAATTTTTAATGTATACGTATGAACAAACGCAGAAACGATCTTTGTTTTCGAACTTGAGCGCTTTGCGAATTCACGTAGGCGACGGTGCGCGATTATATTCGCAAGCCGGCCATTCGCCTGACATTTAAATGTTTGTCTGACAGTAATAATCCAACGTCATGGAAAAAAAAGAGTGTCGTTTTTATATAACGCAAAAATAAGTCGCGTCGCGCCGTAGGCGTGCTCGCGGAAACAGATTTCGACCGTCTTGTATCTCGCTTCTCTCATCGTCGTCGCATTGGAGGATCGATAGGATTCCTTAGTGTCGTCGGGTTTTATTCTCTTCGTTATTGTCGCGTGGGTGTACGCAACGCCCGGTAAATTTTGAGTGGGCGAAGGAATTGCGTTTCACGCTGTGATGGCAAACTTTCATCCTGTTTGTTGCAATACGCAACCATAATTCGAAAAGTGAAATAATCTTCGAGTTATTTAGAGAGCATTACGTTACTTCCAAAGGCGTATAATTTATCGAAGAATGTCAATAGACTGACTATTGAATTTATGCTTATGTTTGTTGACCGAATAATGCAATTAATTGTAAGCTTTTCCAAAAGCAAATCTATGATTATGTTCCATCGCCAATAACTTTAGCAAAAAATTTCACGATGTCAAAGTAATCCCACATTTTTAGTTCGAAACTAAATACTTTTATTATTTTAAAGTTTAGACACAAAACGCGATATTACAGATATTTTTTGTATTAAACTATTTAAAATTTATGTAACTTTAATTTCACCTAAAATGCAACTAAATCGTAAAACTTATACATAAGTATAAGCCAATTTAAACCAATTAACAACAGAATCTGCTAATGCTATTTACCGCTAAGTATAACCGGGACTTTCATGTGTGCACGCTATGGTATCGTCCGATTAAATCCGCGAATTACATACTTACTTTTCTAACGGTAATGTAGACGTAAAAGAAAAATGCGAAACGCGGGAAATATGGTCGTCACATGTGTCGTCGCGATGGGAACCGAGGTGATGGGACTTGGAACGGCGTGCAATAATAGGAAGTTGCGGATTCACCACTTTCGGGGCGGGTTTCGTTGACCGAGGACGACAGTGGACATACAACGGTTCTCGTGAGAAAAAACGTTGAGGAAGAAGAAGAAAAAAATGGAGAAACTGATGTGTGCGTCACGGCGAAGAGTTGGTAGGTAGATGGGTCGAGTAAGGAACTAGACTCCACTAAGGGTGTACTTACACGATTCAACCATGCGTGCTTCCCCGTGCGCACAGGTGAGCTGAAAGACGCTCGTGGAACGAGTCCTGCTACGTATGTGGAAAAGGAAGAAGAACGACGGACGGCAAAATAGGAAAAGACCGACGTCTCTCGCTCACTAATCGTCGCTCCGCTCATTCCAAGATAGGAAAAAGGGATACAGGATGATTCAAAGTTCCTTGTTCATTCTTTCCAATTTTTAATCCTTTGCGTACTAACGACCTCCCAGTCATAGTTTTTTTGTGTCTAATGACAGCGCAACAAATGCTTCTTTGAGCTGTATACATTTTCGTCATTTTAAGATGTTCAAAATGTATTTAAATTAAATGTTTAAAACATTTCTAATCAATAATTAAGCGAACTAAGTACTTGGTTAAAAAATTCCTTTTAATGTGCATCCTTAAAATAAAATTACCAATTTCTGTCTATCATTTTCCTTTAGTCATGCACTATAATCTTATATGCTGCTATTATCATTATGATATTTGACATTGCATCGCTGAAATTTTTTAATTAACATACACGATAATGATAAACTTTGTTTTTTCATGTGGTTTCCATTATAAACAATTTACTGATCCATATCTATCATTTTCCATTAATTATTTTAAATATCGTATGTGTATTTTACTGTGAATCTTATATGTATATTATGTTAGTATTATTATTATGACATTTAACATTGCGCTGTCTTATTATATATATCTGGAATTTGCTCCGGAAATAAACTGATTCTCTCTGCGTCTCTATAATATTTATTGCCTTCCTAGTAACGCCCTCCTTATCGCGGCCACGCAATCGCGTAATATGCGACAAGTGTGTGTGTGCGTAGCGAGCCAGAAGGAAAATACGAGATTTATGATTAGTCCACGTGCGTCGAAGAAGAGGAAGGCCAGGGATGGATCAAGGAAACAGATCGCTCTACGCTACGATGCACTCGCGCAGTCGTTAATCGAAGCCCTGGTCTTTCTTCGCTGCAGGAACGAAATTGTGTCGATGCTATCAGTAAGCACCGAAAGGGAGTGAACTGAAACGTAACGATGCCAGCAACGATTTACAGAAGAATCGATCACAACCGTTTTATCAATGTGCGAAAACACCCTCGACGATAATTAAATTACCACTCGAGATCTCGCAACGTATCATATAAACGTTAGAATATTATTATAATAATTATTTTATCAGATTCGTAAATGATTCTATCAGAAAAAATCAAGTCTAGAATATTCTGATAATTGAGACGTGCATCGACACAACGGAAAGATCGCGCATCGCGATAATGAATGTGAAGATTATAAGACGACAGGTCCGGCGATGGACGCGAAAGTTAAAAAACTGCATGATCAAGCGCAGAGCGTTGCAACTTTCTCGCAAACTGGATTCGGATTAGTTGTTTTATGATACGCTTGCTGTGTTACCGAACCGGTTAAATAACTCGTGCATATTCAAATGTCGTGCAACGATGACAACGACTGATAGCTTCATGTGCAGCATTCGCGCTTTTCTGATAGATCATTTTAAGCCGTGCAGTTTTCGTTTACGACGGATTGATACGACACGCTTAATGCTACGCTTATGGGCTTATTATAATATTGTAATATAACATCGGTCCCCTTAATATTCCAACTATGTCATCTCCTTGCAGCAGTATATTATCAGCAGCAGTATATAATTATTTTCGCCTACATTATCAATGGAATGCTGATAGAAACGACAAGAAATTGCGAAAGTCAGGAGAAACTTTAACTCTTATTAAAATTTTTTATAAGTCTTTAAATTATCTACATTTGATTTATCTATAATGCACATGTGGTAAGTACTAATCCTTCAAATACACATATATTTTATAAATATAAGCGAAAATAATATGTTATCTGAACATATTGCGATTATTCAGTTTTTCATAGAAATGCAGAAAATAGTATCGCATTTGAAATAAAAAATAGGTCAAAAACTTTTGGCGTAGTTTTCATTTTCTGGCCAATAAAGATAGAAATAGGTCATTAATGGACACTTTTATCAATGTTAATTTTAACTTTTTAATTTAATTTGGTGTCTTAACTGTGTCTAGAGCTCGAATTCGTAATTTAAAAAAGAAGTACACAGTAATGAAACAATTAATATTTGTCTATTAATAACAAGGTCAAAAAAATTTGCGAAAATACGATATATATAAAGATTTATTTCCTTGGAAATACCTTAAAGATGGAAATATGTGGTCACATGATTATTTGATTATATCAGTGGTCGCACTGGAAAAAATTTAATTGAACGAGTAAATAGTCAAAAAAAGGAAAAACAAAAAGAAAGAAAGAAGGAAAAAATAAAAGAAAAGAAAAATAACTTATTTTTCCACCTTTGATGTAAATATTTGATGCTCAATATTTTTAATCATGAAATATCTGAAGAAAACAGAAAAATTTCAGGGGGGCGTAGCCCTGGCTGCGCGTGACAAGGAGAGAAAAGGAGTCATTAGTTGCAAGAATTGGGTGAAATGCTGGACTAATTCCAAGCACTGGGTTGTGTAATGGGTTGCCCCATGTGGGCATGGAATTTTGTGATAATATTATCATGTAATCACTGTCACTATAACTCTGATATTTTTATCATTTCCTTTACAAAAGAATTTTTTATCTTGATGCTTCGCTATATAAATAGAGAAACGGAAGATCGAATACTCAGTACAAGAGTTGGATTTTTAGTACAACAGTCAACGTAAGAATAGGAAAGAGCACAATGGTTCGCCTAAGTTGTATTGTGATTATTAGTATCGCATTAGCGTGCGTTCTCGCACAAGAAGAATTATACTCCGCTCAGTATGATAATATCGATATCGTTCACCTTTTCGAAAATGCTGAAGCACGACAGTGCGTTTACAATTGTTTCATGGACGTTGGACCATGCGACTCACAATCACAATTTGGAAATTTGAAATTCTTTAAAGGTATGTATTTATACACATAACACTTTATTTTTATCCTCGCATTAGTTTCTTTTTTACAAATTTTTTGATAAATTTAACATTAATATTTATTTTAACGGTAACAGTCGAGGTATTTGTAGTTTTAAAATAATCAATGATTATAAGTAATAGTTCTTCTGATAAATATTAAAAACAGAATATCAAGAAAAAAGATAAATAATAATATAATATGTTTCAATAATTTAAATTTTTAAAAATAATTTACCAAAATTTTTTTTTTGGGCTCCGGAAATTATTTAAAAATAAATTATTACAAACAAGCTGCAGAGCCAGAGCTAGTTAAACATGCTCAGTTTATTACTTTTTATCACATTAAATAATAAGACGTTTCGACCATTCGGATGTGGTCATCTTCAGTACAATTATTACATTACAATTATTAGTACAGTTACTAAACGTAAATGATAAATTTATTGTATTATGTTCCGAGAAGACTGCGTTTAATAATTGTAATGTAATAACTGTACTAATAATTGTAATGTAATAATTGTACTGAAGACCACATCCAAATGGTCGAAACGTTTTATTATTTAATATGATAGAAAGTAATAAACTGAGCAGGTTAAACTAGCTCTGGCTCTGCAGCTTGTTTGTAATAATTTATTATAACATACTTCGTTATCAAAAATAAACTTAATGTCCCAATTACTATAAATCAATTACTATAAATTAAAACTAGTAAGTCTATCGTGTTTTGATTGTAGGAATCTTTCCCGAAGCTCTCCATGATGGATGCAAAAAATGTACTGAAAAGCAAAAGGAATATTTGAAATACATAACTGATTGGTATACAACGAATGAACCCGATGCGTGGAATGCTTTACTTACGAAAATTCAGAATGATTTTGTAAAGAAAGATGTTCAATAATTATCAATAATACAGTGCTGAAAAGACTGATAAGGATATTTATAGCGAACTGATATTCTAATTCTCAAAAACGAAAAGAAACTCATCAGTATTATTAATGTTTGTTGTAACTACACTATACTGTAGTTAATATTAGAATAAAACCTGAAAATTATTCCAGTTTTATTTTTTATTATAATCATTATTTTAATATATATTAAATAGGTCAGAAACTTTTGACATAGTTTCCATTTTCTGGCCAATGAAGATAGAAATATATCACTAATGGACACTTTTATCAATGTAAATTTTAACTTTTTAATTTAATTTGGTGTCTTAAATGTGTAGCTAAGACTCGTAACCCAAAAAAGAAGTACATAGTAGCGAGACAATTAATGTTTGTTTATTAACTAGGTAAATAAAAAAGTCTAATCTTTCAAAAATTTAAAAATATTCGAAAAAAATGATGTTTTTTAGATGTTTTTCAGATATCTTGAAGACTTGCGTATTGTCTAGATAATTATACAGGGTGTCCCAGCCGTAACACCCGTAAATGGCAGATTCTTGAGGTCATTTGGAATCGAAAATCTTAATGCCAAAATGTCGAGGCTGTTATAGTTTTTGAACGGGAAAGTTCATCTTGTCAAAATTTTACGCGCTCAGGGATATCGCATATCGAAAGCCCTTCCACAACACTTTATTCAGCTTGATAGAAATAATAATACTTGGCATATTGTTTATTTTATTTCTTTGTACACTGTTGTGGAAGATAAAACTGACAAATTTCGGGATGATAATAGTTTCTAAATTGTCGTATGGAAACGCGATACGCGTCGAACTGTCAAAGCGTTCATGTGAAGCGTGGCATTGACAAATGACGTTTCGCTTGTGATGAGAGAAAATCAATACAATCGGTACGAAGTATAGTCTGCTGCATGAAATGCTAATAAGGAAGATAAAGTCAGTAAGAAAAGAAAATACATGTTTGAAAATATGTTTTTATTTATTTATTTGAAGGAACATAAACAAGATATTCGCCTTTTTTCATGCAGCAGATCATATTTCGTACCGACTGTATTAATTTTCTCTCGCATCACATGAGAAACGTCATTTGTCAATGATATGTTTCACACAAATGCTTTGACAATTCGACGCGCATCGCGTTTCCACACGACAATTATTATTATTATCCTGAAATTCGTCAGTCTTGCGAACAGTGTACAAAGAAATTAAGTGAACAATAATTTCAAGTATTATTATTTCGATCGAGCTGAGTGTTGTAGAAAGACCTTTTCGATATACGATGTCTTTGAATGCGCGAAATTTTAACAAGTTGATTGATGAACTTTAAACCTTTCCTTCCTCAAAACTATAGCAGCCTCGACATTTTGGCATTAAGATTTTTGTCTTCAAATGACCTCAGGAATCTGCCATTAACGAATGTTACGATAAGTCTGGGACACCATGTATATAATACAAAAACAACACTTCATCTCATGAAGAATTGACGGAAAAATATGATGATTTATTATCTACTTTACATTCATAACAACATTTGATAGCCTGTTTGTAAAAAAAAATACCTGTTAATGTTTTATAACGTTAAACATGACTCGCGAGATGCCAAGATGTTTTAATTGTAATATATATAATATACGATGTGATCATTGTTCCCAGAACTAATTGATACTTTGATCATCTCTTTTACAAAACAATTTTTTGTCTTGATGCTTCTCTATATAAATGAGATGAATAGAAGATAGAATGTTCAGTAGAAGAAATTTCGATCTTCAGTACAAAAGTAAGCGTAAGAATAGGAAGGAGCAATGATTCGCCTAAGCTATATTGTGCTTATTGGTATCGCACTAGCGTGCGTTGTCGCGGAGGAGGAATTGTACTCCAACCAGTATGACGATATCGATATCAAAGCCATTTTCGAAAATGAGAAACTACGACAACAATATTACAACTGTTTCATGGAGATTGCACCGTGCAAGACAGCACCTTTGAAATTCTATAAAGGTATGTCTATTTATATGCATAATATCTTATTTTTATTTTCGCATTAGTTTTTTTTTACAAATTCTTTGATGAATTTGAGATTAACTTTTTTTGTTTTAACGGTAAGTCAAGATAGTTTTAAAATAATCAATAATTGCAAATGATTATTCTTCTGATAAATATTAAAAATATTATTAATATACTTCTGATAAATATTAGAAAATAAATATAAAGAAAAAAGATAGATAACAACATAATATACTTCGTTGTCAAAAGTGAACTCAATGTCGCAATCGATTATAAATTAAAAGTAATAAGTCCATCGTGTTTCGATTTTAGAAATCTTTCCTGAAGCTTTCCAGACTCAATGCAAAAAATGTACTGAAAAGCAAAAGAAACATATGGAATACATAATTGATTGGTATACAACGAATAAACCCAATGATTGGAATGCTTTAGTTACGAAAATTGTGCAAGATTTAACAAAGAAAAGTACTCAATAATTATCAATAATACTGCTGATAAAACTGACAAAGACCGACAAGGATTTTTATAGCGAACCGATACTCTAACCCTCAAGAACGAAAAGGAACTCTATAGAGTTGTTAATGTTTATATAACACTATACTGTAGTTTATATTAGAATAAAACTTGAAAATTATTCCAGTTTTATTTATTTATTATAACCATTATTTTAATATATATTTAATAGGTCAAACACTTTTGACGTGGTTTCCATTTTCTGGCCAATAAAGATAGAAATATGTCATGTAATGGACGCTTTTACCAATGTTAATTTTAACTTTTTAATTTAATTTGATGTCTGGAGTTAGAATTCGTAACCTAAGAAATACATAGTAATGAAACAATTGATTTTTGTCTATTAATAACTAGGTTAAAAAAGCCCAATCTTTTAGAAATTTAAAAATATTCATAAATTCATTTACTTCAAGACATGGCAGCACATATCTGTAAATGTGCAAATTTCTAATAATCTAATCGGTGTTTTCTCACGTCTAAACATGTACTTAATATCGTTAGCAGACGTAACACGCGTTCATACAAGATGATATGTCATTTTTAACAGACTATGATTTACCTGGCATCTTGAAGATGCTAATCAATTCTATCGCCGATCAATAATATCGATTGAACGGATTCATGCACATAAATATTGGCAGTGACGGACTTTGTTTTTTCTCGCAAAAGCTTCTGGCTTAATAAAAAAAAATTCTTAGCCCGACGACACGTGCGGTCTTCCCTAACGAAATCATTTCGTCCTGCCTGTCTCGGTTTATTCTTTTCTCGCCGCGGCCATTCGTACGAGTCGCTTCTTGGCGAACACATCCGCCTTATTTTGTTCCTATTCTGTTCTTGAACGAGCGAGCGAGCGAGCGAGCAACTCGTTCCGTCCTCCTGCTCTTCCATCGGTCCTGCTGCGTGCTACAAACGGCCTTTGAATAGCGTCTAGTTTTTGTCGAGCAACTAGTTTTACCGAGGGTTTTCATTCTCCGCTCTATCCGCGAGCGCTCGTCCTTCGCGCATCGAGCCACCGTGAAAATTAATCTTGCCGCATCTCTCAACACCGTAAAATTCCAGCGAAAGTGAATGATGTTCCATAAACCATAAGAAGAAAAACGTGATGCTCAAAACTCACTGATTTCATTGATTATTTGTCATTTTTAATTGCTAATTTAATTGTCAAGAGAAAAATAAGGGAAGCCGGAGAATCGCATTGTTAATGAATCACAGAATGTATATTATAATTCTTACGCGCACTAATAGTAATCTATTCTAATAAGCATGAGCGCTGTAATTCTGAAAACTCGCAGAAATGACCTTACTTTAATTGTTATTATTAATTATGAATTAATATTATGTTGCATTTTGCACTCTTTATGGTGTATTCAAATAATATGTAAAATTATTTTAAAGGAGAAGGAATTCACATAACTAGTTCATAGAATATATAATAACTTCTTTTTAACGTGCAATAAGAATTTATAACAATAATGACATTGAAAATACGCATTGCTGCAGAGCATCAATTAGTAGCAATTTTTACATGTACGTTAAATATTAATAGTAATCGACTTTAATAAGCATGAAACGGGGTTACCTTGAGGCGCATGGCGTATTAAGCGACAATGCAAAAAGAACCTCGCCCAACAGACTATAAAAATATTCCTGACACGCAATCTTTCCTCAAGGCACGTTCCTCAATTTACTCAATATTTTATCTTCGAAAGTTGCGCCATAGCTGGTAGCAACAATCCAAGCGAGGAAATTAACTTCGATTATAAAATAATCGATCGGCCATTAAAGAAATACGTTAATTAACGATCCTTAACCGGCTACCAAAGATAACGCAAATTCGCCTCGCTCATTCGTCGCGAGATCCCTCCGTAAATTATTGCGGACGCCGCACACCGCGTATTTATATCTTTTTGACACGCATGGCATTTGAATTTGCTTTCGCATTTTCAGTATAAAAATTGCAACGAGATTAATAGTCAGCGTTAAGTTGCCGCTAAGTTGCGAATTTGCCATTTTATCGCTAAAACTTTATCTCGTTTGTAAGTTAACGTTAATTGAAACTTTCGATAGCTAAATGAATTATGAAGGCAACGTTTCTCGTTCAAAAAAATAAATAAAAAATTTCTTATATTATTAAAGAACACTAATGAATACGTGCACCACTGATTATAGAAGGTATTTTCCTGCCTTCATAGATTCATATGGCTTCCGGCCGTTCTTTAAAGCACGATCTTGGAAATTGCTAGGCTACTGGTCTCGCCCAGTTAATTATCGTTGAATATATTAATCAGCAATTTATTAATTCTGAAATAACCTAAGTGCTGTCGCAATATAAATATACGTAATAATGAATGCAGCCAAGAATGTCAACAAGGAAAAGTAAAAAAATAAAGAGATTTTTTAACTTTTCCCAACACATCATCAATGTATGTAATATATATATTATTATAGGTTATTGAAATATTTAACGAGACAAGTTGAAACTGTTGTTAAATATATTTCCCTAACTCAATCGATATAATTTAAAAATAACCAATTAGTAAATCCATTGATAAATTCTCGTGGGAACCCAAAAACTCGGAAATCTCTGTTGATCGTTGAATATATTAATTCGACAGTTGGCTCGATTACAATTAATTGCTTTTTTTCATGCAGCTGAGCTTTTCCCATCGTGACACTTTCTAATTCCTTCGCCGCGCAACTGCACGGATTATATGAAACATTTTGCACGCTGTTGCGTAAATATTTTAATTTATATAAACCGGTGGCGAGAAAAACTAGTGTGCATATGCTAGGTAATGGAATACCGAATTTACGAACTCGGGTGAACTCGCGCGCGTTTCTTATCTCGGTTTAATCATGAATCTTCGAGCTCGCACTGGCAATTTATGAAGCAAGTGTGGCTAGACGTTAAATATGTTAATTAATGTTCCGTCGGTTCTATAACCAGCGTCCGGTGGCACCGGCTTTACCCTAGACCACTGTCATTCACCTGAGTCTTGTTTACACGTTACTGCATTCCATTGGTCCCTACAGATACACGAGTTATACGTGCGACGAACTCGGCGTACTCGGCGTATAAACGAGGCAAGTGTTAATGACTCCATAATGCAATTTCTTCTCCATCTGTAATCTACACATCTTTAATTATCTTTATTTCCGATTCATATATCTATTCTGCTAGATTTATAGATTTATTTTAACTATTCCACATATGCGGAAACCTGTATTTAATCAAATCTTAAGGTTGGAATTTTTTAAATTGTGTTTAATCGAAAATTTTATTCGTAGAAACAATTCAATTCTTGACCGTTAAATACGGATTTGCAAAATATATACTAATTATATTTTTTTCTTCATCAAGCAACACACATTTATATTTCACAAATCATAATAATTTCCAGTTATTCGATAAACATATATTTTAATCATGTTGTTTATCACATGAGTTTTGCCTTACTTTCCGACTGCGTGGTTTCTCATAAAATAGAAACACTTGTTTTAGTTCTCATTTAGAATAGTAAAACTACTCACGTCTATAAATGCTCGCACGCATTTCCTAACTGACGATACAATACTCATCTTTACCACGCGTTGGCCGATTTCACACGACATAATCTCGACTGCCTAACAATATGCTCTTAGGCAAAAAGCAGACAATTATTAACATTTGAATTAAGAGTTTTATGGTTTTCCCGCATTTCAACAGATTTTACGCAAGTAATCTCATCTATTTATTGTACTGCAGTTGAAATGCACAATAAAGGTTTTCTTGCATTAATTTATTTTATAATTTTATAAAATTAACTTAACTGAGAGAAATAAAATAAAATATTTATAATTTTACATATTTTGTATAATTAAATGCTATGCAGTTTATCTCAGTATAAATCTTTGTCTGCTATGTTTCTATACACTGCACAGTGGCTGTACAGTAGCTTTTCTCAAAAAGAAATAAATAACTAAATTAAAAACTTTTTACGTGTTTATTAAACTGTTGTTGAGAAACATTTTAATTTAAAAACCTTGTCAAAATAAATAACTTTTAATCTGATTTAAACTCTTAAGAAAAATAATTTCATTAAAACCCGAGAGTAAATTATTTGTCCGCCATCCAAAAGATAATGTAAGTGTAAAAAAAATCTTTTAACTCTTTCGGTACATATTTTATGCCCAAAAGCAATCTCGAAATCATTAGGTCCCCATAGCCTGTCTCACGCAATAGCGCTGTACAGTTAGCCGGAATGACGCGATATATGGGAGGCAGCCGACAGATGTTCGTACCGTTGAAGAGGTACGAGATGAGTCGACGGGTCTCGGTTGTCCACACGAAGGAGCCACATCCGAGCGATGCGACGCGTTCGTCACAGAGAGGATATAGTAAATGCGAAACGATGTCGGCAGGTGTTACCAGATCGCTCGGAATTCGCGGATATGAAATGTGCGAATATAGGCAAAAGAGGATATAGAAACGGTTATCGAATGCGACCTTTAGAAATGGGCAGTTCCGGAAATAAAAGGAGGCGCAGAGAGAAAAAGGGAGGAAATAGGACGCGCGTTGATGGCGAAATATTTATACGTTTATACTGAAGAAGCAGGTGTAACGATGGCGCGAATATGTTGCCAAAGAGATTTCAGACTGATTTTACCGCGAGCGAGGATTAATTCTGTATATCATATTCGTGAAATGTGTTTCATTCGTTTTCATGTTTTATTCAATTTGCAAGATTCTTGAAAAGCGAAATGCTGAAATATTAGTTTTAAAAACACAATCATATTTGTGGTTTGTACTGTTAAGACCGCTGTTTTTTAATTTACGAATATTTTTAAAAGAGATAAAAATGTTTCTCTAAATAATATGTATTTAGAAATATATTGTTTTTTTTTGTATTAAATAAATAAATAAGTAAATTTTTAAATAAATTAAATTAGTTTTTGAAATAAATTTTTGCATAAAAGTAAGAAAATTATAAAAAAAGTAACAAAATAGTAATAGTAATAAAAAGTAATAAAAATAACAAATATATAAAATAAGATAAAAATATATTTTTTGCGTTAACCTGACATGGTCCGCAATTAAATATTAACTCTGGCAATATTAAATTAATAAACACGTCATTTATA